CATTCAACGTTTTATGTCCAACCCTTCGAGTACTGTTGTCTGTGCGATTGATGGAAACTGGTGTGATTCAGGCCACGGCTGTATAACCATGGGAAAGTGGTTGCAGCAGTTCAAAGTGTACATGAATGAGTCATATATTCCTGCTCTGCTTGAGGTACGTTTCACTGCTGTCCAATTTGTTCTGTCAGTTGGCGAGCAAGAAAATCACTATAATTTTTCTTAGGCTGCTATAAGATTATATTTTCAGTTTTTTATTTTGTCAGCCAGGGGGGCAACTTAATATTTACATAAGTTACATTTCAAGGTTTTGCTTTCACAGCTGTCGCTCGATTCACTCAGCACACCAGAATACACTTGCTTTTTAAGCCTTTTCTTTTTAAACAGTCTGCAGGGAAAAAATGGTTCTGCGAACGAGGGATACATCTGTAAATATGTGGACATTTTTGTATTCGGTCAGAGCACGCCGTTAATCCAGTGACTAATATAGAAATTTACATTTCAACTCGTAATAACGAGTATAATATTATGAGCCAATGCACCACGGTTGTGAGCACACCGGACAGGAGACCACTGTGCCCAGTTTGGACTTAAGTAAGTGTGGACTTTGTTATATTGTTGTTGTATTATTTTAACCCAAACCATAATGTAATATCTGACCTTGATCAAGTAGTGTTGTTGCAATGGTTAGATTAACCAAACTTTAATAGAATTAAAGAGTTTAAGGTATTGTGACCGGGGCAACTGATGTGCCTGGCCGCAATGAAACAACGCCACTCTGGGACTGTCACCCAGAGAGTACCACAAATAAAAGGTTCTTTGTTCAAGAAAGGGGAGCAGAGGTGAATTTCTAGTTTTGAATAGTGTCCAGTTTTATTTATAAGTAAGCTTCAGATTGGTTAGATAACTGTCTCAGTTTGAAAATACGGCTTTTATTACAAAAATAGCTTTATGGTAAAAAATGATGTCACTATACTTCAGTGTTTTTACCAGCAAAAGGTGACTGTATCAGGGAGGTCTAAAGGAGTGGGAGAGTGAAGGGGGAAGGGGCCACCACCAGGGACCAGAAAGGAAAAGTCACAAACTGCAAAGCAAAAAAGACACAAATTAGAACAAATATAAAACATGCCAAATAAACAAAAAAATGAGGAAGCCCTCCACCTAGTGAACCACCACCTATAGACCTATGACCAGCCCACGAGTACTGATATTAAGAGGACCTCAGTGTAGGACCTACTCCAGTAGGTTTACAAAAGGGAAAAAAAAATTAGACACCAACTTTTCTAGGAAAAAAAGAAATTTACTAACAATTCATAATCAAAATACTAGCATAAACAACGTAACCATAAATACAAAACATATTTTCAAAAGGGGGGCAAAAACAGCAGTGGCTGGAGCTCAGCTACCACCAAAAGCAGACATCACTTCCCCGTTCCTATTCCAAAAAAGAAGAACATGTCATAAACAATGTAAAATTTCACTGAACATCATGGCACCGCTATGGAGCATATTTAAAGAAAACCAATAAAAAACCCTGCTCTAGTTCAAAAACAGACATACGTGGAAATTGCACACTGTACAGCCACACATGGTGAGTGCTTCTCAGATGGGGTGGGTGCTCTTTGACTAGTCCCCTTTAGTGCTCAGTCCTGCACCTTGACTAGCTGTAGTCATTCCTGAGACCAGTGTGGAGCTGGGAAAACCTGCGGCAAAGCCTATATTTAAAGGAAACCAGGAAGTAATTTGGCCTCACCTGTTGCGAATCGCTAATTAGAGGGGTGTGGCCAAACAGGTAAAGGGAGGGGGAGCTCTACCCATCACAGTATGTCAAATTATTAACCCTTAATGACCATAATAACCCCTAACTTGAGTTGTGCATTATACTAGTGGTCCCCAAACCACGGTGCCGCTTGGTAACGAGGCTGCAGAGTAAGAAAAAAAAAACCCTGTTTATTTCTTTTCATTCAAGACAGGCGTCGAAAAAGGTTGGGGACCACTGCGTTATTCCAACTTTTGATTTGTTTGATAAAATTGTTCACATTTGAGCTTAAATCAATCAATTTCTTAGTTTGCCTTGTGCGGACCAAACCAGTCACTCATATCATGCATGGAAAGCCTGCCCTTTCTGAGATTAGATCAATCAACATTCATCTTTGTTCAGTCGGCAACGTCCTTCATGCTTCAAACAATTGACACAAAAGGATCAGCCTCTCACCGGACCGAAGGATTCAATTTCCATTCTAATGGTGTTGTATTTGACTTGAATATCTTTGTAATAGAAAAATGATTCAAGCCATTGTTCCATGTTGCCGCTTATCATCATATTCCCATCGTGGCATGATAGAGGAATCTCTCTGGTTTTGTTAATGGTTGGTTATTGGGAGCCTACTTATTTAAGAATAAACACATATTTACATCAGCTTAGTGAGGCTTTTAGACTTGTACAAACATTTCTATTGTTACTCTACTATCAGTGCAATTTTGGTTGTATATTGAACAAGAAACACAAACTCTGCCTAAACTTTGAAGAGGTTTTGGTTTAATTGTAAGCAGAGAAAGCTGCTTAAGGCACTAATGTATTAACAGTGGAAGTTAGCAAAGCTGATTAAAGCTTAAATTAATAGAAATAACCCTGAAATATAAAGCTGTCGTGGCGTCAATGATGGTTGAGACTTCAGCTGTACTTTCAATTGAAATGATGTTGCCTCTTCTTTTCTCCTCTCCATGTTTGACAGACCTCTCGTACACAGCTGTAGTTGTGGGCGGTCTGCCCGAGAACGCCACAGGGCAGCTCATCGTGGAGGTCTTAGGGGAAGTTGCTCCCATCAAAAAGAGAAACTTCTGCCATGTCTGATTTACTCAGGAGTTCAACGTGGACAAGGCTCTCTTCCTGGTATGACAAAGTCAGGTCCTGTAGGTCCTCGTACGGTATTTGATTAAGTCAGACAGACGGGCTGGACTGTTAGATGTCCTGTTAGGTTTCTCAAACACATGTTGCTAGTTGTTTTTATGCCCAATCCTGACTGCTGTGCGATATAAATCACAACAAACCTCCAACCTTATTTTTATACCAAAGTATTGGTTTACAGAGGGCACAAAGGTCGCAGGATAGGAGCTTTTTTTTCTCACCCGCATGGACAATATTGAATCTGTAGAGACCACTTTTTCAGTCCACTGCTATCAGTGCCCCAGCACTCCTTCACCACACGGAGGAAGAATGATGAGCTGTTAACCTTTACTCTGATGGAAATGAAGGGGATGATATCCATCATTCAGCACCGCAATTCTCATGCCTCACACATTCACCTGGGAAAGTTTGATAGATGAATAAATGGATCGGGGGTTGGATGGTCTGAAAGACGGACTTGAATTGTTCGGAAGAGAACCACCCTGGAGTGTTGACTTGTGTGTTTCATGGTCCTTATGCACGTTGAATTCTGTTCATAAATCCTCCATTTTTTAAAATGTATCAAGTTAGCTGCATTTCAGGTCAGAACTCCTTAGGCACCCTTTATTGCAAATTTAAGATATTATCTATCGTAAGGGATCGATGAAGATGTGTGAACAGATTAAACGTTATCAGGCCTTCTGATCCTTTAATTACATTCCCCACAGTAAGTGTGTGTTTGCTTTCTTCCATTAACTTGGTGATACAAATCGACGCTGCGGTGCGCGTCGTTACTGAGCCACAGTTACATCCAGTAATCTTCTAATTCCCCCTGACTCATTGCAGAAAAGGGAACTACTACCTTGTAATCACTGGGTTACCGTCCTATCACTTTCTGTGATGGAAAGCAGCGCTCTCAAATCACAGCGGCTTGATGACAAATCTCCATCCCAAACTGGCAGAAGACATTTGTCGGGCAGCTGTGATACTCTCACTACTCACCTTGCAGTTCTGTTGTTGTTCTTAACAGGCAAATTCCTCTTCCACCGGTTACACGTGTTTAATAACCAGTTATAAATGCTTGGGATGAGCTGGATAGTTTTCACTCAAGCTGAAACTTGCATGACTGCATCTTTATCCCGATTTGACAGAATTATTCCAAAAGCTTTCTACAGCTTCCTAAATGTTATTTTATTACATCAAATATTAAGTGTTCCCCAGTTTGTTTAATATTTTCCTAAAATTTGACGGGATACATGTGAATAAGGTTATTGCATATTATTTTGTGCGGCCTCTATTCTTGGTCATGTGAAATCCACGCTTTTCTACAAATATTTTCTCTCCATCCAGCAGCTCCTCCTGCACAGATGCCTTAAATCTGTCTTTGCTGGCCATATATTCCCACTACAGAGCTCATTTAAAAGACCAGCCGCTGCAATAATACCGTCTGCATTATTTAATCTGTGTGTGTGTGTGCCTGGTTGTGATTTCATCTACTTCTTCCCCACAATAAGACTGAATCTATAAGTTCATATATTAGCCAGATGACAGACCTGTGCAGCTTTCTCATAAATACTACTTTCTGTAACACTCTGGTCTCTTCTCCCAAAATGCACGTACACACACACACACACACACACTTCTCTTTGGTGCGTCTGTATTTGGCCCATGCAGTTCTTTCTGAGCTTGTTTCCTATAGTTTCTGAGTTCACACGGTACTGTTGACACCCTTTTCTTTCTCACAGATCCTTCAGACCAATCAATTAGCAAAACAAATGTGATTGCGCTTCCCACCTACACTCATGCAGTGGAATGGGCGTCGAGTGTCAGGTGGGAGGCAGTGAGGTGATCCAAGGCCGCCACTGTAATAAGTGGCTCGCACTCACTTATGTACATGCAGGATAAACGCTCAACGCACTGGCGGCGCTTTTCTCTGTCCAAATGTTGCCCCATAAACTTGGGGAGCAGCTGCAACCACAGGGATGAATGGTGTGGACAAAGAGGATGTGATTCTGTTGTTTCCTTCTATCGGAAGGAAAACGAGGACAGGTTTATCAATTTAACTGTATTGTATCTGTTTGTGTGATGCAGGCTTTTGTCTTGCTATCTGTGTAAATCTCCCTTTGTGTGCTTGTTGAATTGTCCGTGCTTATCTCTGTCTATTTTCTGTACATCTGAATTGCGGTAGGTGTTGATAGAAATTGACATTTCACCCTGTTGCCAGTCTCTTCCAATCAATGAAATGTCACAGCCGTCTTTCATGTGCTCTGTTTTCTTTCCCCCAGGCCTCCCTTTTTTTGTTACCCCATTCTTGCGAACTCAATATCTGAGGACGGCCTTCAATGACTTTCTTCAAATTTTGGCACAAACATAAACTTCAAGGTTGAACCGGTTACATTTTGGTGGTCAAATGGCACTTTGACATCACAAAGCAAGAGGAGGATCTTTTCCGGCCGCCCTCTCCTCCTCCCGCATCGTCCACTACTCGGAGCACCAGTGCAGCCAGCTGGGCGACGAAAACAAAGGTTGGTAGACAAACACCACGGTCAATTAGTTGAAACAGCGCTTCGGTCCAGACTGAAATATCTCACCCCGATGGAATTTTGGTACAGAGATCCTGATGAATTGTATCGACTTTTATCCACTGAATTGTTCAAGCTGTTGTGAGCTGAGCATGCGTATTGTAGCCTGACCGACAGCTGCCGCTTGACTGAACGTAATCATGTAATCCTTTCAACTATGATTGAAATAACTCAAATATTTGCTAATTCAAAATGTAACGTGGTGCGAAGCATTCAAATAGGGGCCCCCATGAAGGGATGAAAATATCTTTAAGCAGATTTTAAATTTATTTATAGCGAGTGGGGACAGTAATTTAAACACACTTGACATTTTAGTGTCTGCAGACTGTTTTCTCATTTTAGTGTCTTATAATTCTGATTCCTACTGAGAATTGAAAGTGACTCGATACGTGGTAATCATATTCCTTGGCTGCTAGGAGTCGTAGTGTAATTTAAAATATTGAAATGCCCTGCGTGGTTGGGTACAGTTCCCATCAGTGTTCAGAGCACATATGACGGGAGGGTGGGCTGAACAGGGCCTCTGGCATGTGAGAATATCTTACTGAGCATTTCAAATTCTTCATGTAATCAAAACCTGACAACAGGAGGTTCTTTGATGAGCCCCAGTGACATTTGTGACCTTAGACTCCGTCTTTCCACTGGAAGATATCAACTGGATGGGGAGGGTTGAGTTATCATCTCACCCGACCAATTGGCTATTTGTTTAGTTTGGAGCGGCTTCTTGTTAGTGGACCAACTTTTAATTGGTTATTCAATTCCCAATACAGTACATGCAAGGCAGAACAACATTAATTGAGAAAAGTAAGCCGAGGATGTCACAGGACAATTAGATTGTACACTTATTGTGTAGAAAAATCAGAATGGCTCTGACTTAAATAAAAATGCTAAAAATGATCCGTTAAACTAAATCTGTTTCCACTAATATTCCCCCAGCATGTCGAAAGGCCGGTGCAGGTAGCCGTGTGTCGTGAGAACCGAGTTTGACTTTAAAACCAGTAGCAACCCCTTTTCGTATTCACGAGATAACACCTTGATTCAATATCTGTTGCTGTGATGTTTCATCATCCACGCAAGCTGTCGTGTGTGTGATGTGTGTGTGTGTGTGTGTGTGTGTGTGCGCGCTTGTGTACGTGCATGTGTGAGTAAGAGCATCTATAGAAACGTTTTTCGCCATCGACTGGTAATATATATTTTTTTTGAACAACATATATTATAAATATTCTTCAGAATAGTAGAAAGACAACATCCAACGTAAATTTTTCAATTTTATGTATTTGTGTCCATGGATTTCTCCTATAATTACCGCATTAGCTGCACTAGATAATGCCTCATTTAATTATTTAAACATCGGACGTTAGCACCTCCAACATGTCGAAAGGAGTCAGTTGAGGTGGTTTCGACATCTCAGTAGGATGCCTCCTGGTCAGCCCCTGCTGGAGGTGTTTTGGCAGTCCCAGGTATATATAGATTATATCTCCCAGCTGGACCGGTAACCTTCAGGATGAGCTGGGAAAATGTTGCGTGTGAGAGGGCAGTCTGGGTCGATCTGCTGGGTGCTGCTGTGGATTCATCGGCTGTTCAGATTTCTGTTCTGCCAGATGCTTAATAAGTATAATTACTCTTTAGCGTACCTTTCAGAAAGCTGCAATGTCAGCTGAGGAAGTTTCATGGCAATGTATATTATTTAAATTAACCTGCAGTGTCTCCCCTAAATAAACTCGATCTGTGAACTGTCATGTTTATTGTACGTGTACATGATGCATCTGCACTGCTATTTGTTTGTGTGTGTGTGTATGTGTGTGTGTGTGTGTGTGTGTGTGTGTGTGTGTGTGTGTGTGTGTGTGTGTGTGTGTGTGTGTGTGTGTGTGTGTGTGTGTGTGTGTGTGTGTGTGTGTGTGTGTGTGCGTGTTACGGAGGTCTGAGGCAGTGTGACATGAGCTGACGTCTATGTGTGGGAGTGGGTTCCCTCCTGTGCTCCTCAGGTCTTTCAGCAGACCAGCCAAGCAGCAGAAGACAGGACAACAGCAGTGGAACAACAACAACAACAATATAAATCAATGAAGTCTCCTGACCTCATCTGATTATTCACTGCTGAAGTACACTGCAGCTATTCTCTACCATTTATGCTCAACTCTCACGAAATCCGTCGGTGAGTGTTTTTTTTAAATATATATTTTTAAGAAAGACTGGATATACCCCCGCCCCCCCCCACCATCACCTTTATTTCTTATTTCCTCCTGCTCTTTTTACCTTCAGTGTATCGAAATGATAATTTTTCTACTCAATCTTATTTAAACTATTTTAGTCCTTTCATCCAGAGGCGACAACAAGTTCTATCAGCAAGTTATTTTAATCTTATCATCATCATCTTCATCGTCCTCATTCCTCATTCCTGTCGACATACAGCTTGTACAAACATCAAGGTACTGCACAAACGTTATTAACATTTCTGCAGTAGAGATGATTTTGGCTACATGACTTCCTTTCGGTGCGCATGTTTGAACTATTTTTTCTTTTTGGGTTGTTGTTGAACTCGTTGCCTTCTACATGGTCCACAATGTCTCTGAGCGTCACATTTTAGAATAAATCTGCCGATGCAGCTCTTCCTGGATCCTGGTGGCCACTTCTCTCTAACTGTCCCTCTTTGGCCAGACAGGTTTTAGTTGGCCGAGGCAGATGTATTGTACTTCTGTGGTATTGATTTCCTTTTCTCCTTTCCTCCCTTTTCCAATTTCTACTTTCCACCTAACTTGATCAAATGACTGTGGCTTTGTGAAGGGGACACTTAAAAAAAGGGGGGCAAGCGCTCTTATGTAGACTCATCTCTCCTTCACCTCTGCCCGAATGACAGCAAATACACGGAGGGAAAAAGCTCGTATTGACCCAGAATCTTGTTCTCTAAAACTCTTCTGCTCCCGTCTTACCCAGATGACAATAGGTTTCCTGAGGCGGCGCGCGTCCTCCTGACCTGGCTGGAACGAGGTGAAGTCAACCGCGCGAACGCCAACAACTTGTACTCCGTGATCCGATCGTCTCAACGGCCACATCCGCAGGCCGACGGGCGAGAAGAGAGGTGGAGGAGGCCAAAGAGAAGTTCACTTTCCTATTTCTCTAAGTGAGCCTTTTAAAACAAACTGTTTTACGTAGCAAAGAAAAAATGCAATATTGTTAGATTTTAAAAGGTGCAATGAAATAGCAGTATAATAATATGAAAACCTGTATTAAGAGATAAATAGATTTGAGTGGGCCAAGCCTTTCGGGAATAAAATAAAAGGATCTTTTTATATCAAGTAAAGCGATATAGCATTTTATCATACCTCCATTATATTGCTGGCCATGAACACCATAATCGTTTGTACACAATTCAGAAAGGTTGCTGCTTTTGTTTGTTGTAATTAAATCCAAACTGTGAAACAAAATATGCGTTCACGCGGAAAACCAGTAAAAAACAAAAAAACAGTGAGTTCACAGGTTAAGGAGAATGCGGGCTTATTGAGGGTGTCCTTCTCAATCACACATACAGGCTCACAGTAAACAATTTATGAAAGTAGCCCTCCATCATAGAATTTACGATTCGGGGATTCCCATGACCCTCTGTAGTCTGCAGCTGAATCACAGGTCACAGTACACAGCATATCAAACGCACCTAGAGAGAAATATCAGGACACAAATACGCTACAACCCACATTTAGTCAGGTACACGGAACTAAAACACTTTCTCTCTTTCTATCACACGCACATTTTAATACTCTATAGCGCAAAAAGCTTTACACGTTACAATGTACGTAAAACTAAACTAGCCACCTTCTTCCCATCTAGAAATGTCTCTTAGAAGTCAGGTCATTTTTATGTATTAAGTATTTTCTCAATCACTAGATATCATCCACATCCAACAGAATAACCCAAACACACCCTGATTTCTATTGAATTTGTCTTATGATTGTTGCACTACCAAAAGTCAAGGCTGAGGTTTGCACCCCGTGAGGTAGTTTTACACCCGAAACCTGTGAACAAAAGACTGATGCTTGTTTACTGGGCCCTGCTTTTATCAGACTGCCATCCAAGGACCCCTTTTTTAGGCATTATCACTTCTGTCACCTTGAGGAGAATCACCTCTAATAAAAAGCTCCTGACATTGTCCCTCTATATTTCCCAAACTTTGTCTGCAACACAGTAATATTCATGACATAATTTATTCATGACTCCGGTTGATCCATCGTCTGTCATTTCCGTTACCAGGATGTGGCTGTAGATAGCTAGTGGGTACAACAAAAGAGCTATTATTTTCCGGTTTTGGATGCGGAATATCCGACTTCCTTTTCCAAGCCTTCATTTTCCCAGAAGATCATACTGTGTGGCATATCGAACTTCACAGTAACAAACACTGATGGTGTTTTAATTCCGCTACGTTGTGAAATCAACCTTTACTTCATAATGTGCCTTTCGGTTTTTTTAATAGAATGCCAACAATACATTACAACTTGTGTTCAGCTATTTACACACACGTGTCTAGGGTCAGGCCCCTCTGTTGCAAATACTACATTTGTGAAGAAGTGGCAAATAATCTTTACCTCAGCTATAGCGATAGCGCAGCATTGACGCTGTGCCTCTTTGCCCGGCATACAGTCCTTCTTCATCACCACTGCGTAATCCCACGTTCATTCACGTGTGAATACTTTGCTTTGTGTCACCAGATTATCACCCTTCACAACCCGCAACAACTTAAAACAACACAGTCACTCTTTTAATAGTTTTCAGGGAAGAAAGTAACTAATACGATTCACAAATTCTTAGTCAAGTCAGTCAACCGGATTGCGTGTAAATTTACGTTGATGTTTTGGAGCTTCGGGGAGCTGTAAGGAGTGCGAGACCATCTGGCCAGTGAACAAATCAAATCAACAGTGTTTTTGTGTAATTATTCTAATCACCAGCTAGTGTAGACACAGGTCCGCACTCCATGGTGGGTTGCTATTAAAACATGAATGTAATCAAGAATGTAATGGACAAGTTTAGAAGATTAATTAACACTTTGGGACACTTCAGTTTCCCTTGTGAGTATTTACAAAGTCTCTGTCGACTTCATGTCGAGATCATGTTTGCAAAGACCGACCAGCAGGGTATGGATATAAGTAAATAACACTCTAATTTAAACTAACATTGGTTTATATTGATTGTAACAACCTCCTGCCACCATTTTCCTTTCGTATTTCAGACTGTGCTGTAGACAGAGACAGATATCCTCCTGCTGGGAAAATCTATGAAATAAACGGATACCGGAAAATGTGAGAGAAAAAAAACAAACTATATATAGTAATACTGTAATATAAATAGCCTTCACATAAATTGTCCTAATTTCAATGTTGGACTACTTTCAGTGCCTCGCATTACAACAGTACCATATTGATAGATACAAACATTTTTATCTTTTTAAATGATACATTTAATGATAAAAATAACATTTACTGTATGTAATTTTGGAAAGAAAGCAGTATATTGTTCACCATTCTCTATTGACAAATGAAACCGTAACCAAGTAACCCAGGAATAAATGTATTACTAATATCGACACCCACTGTCATTCACACACACACTGACACGCACACATTTGGTTTAATTGTAGAAGGCAATATACAGCCATGACATAAAGTGGGCGCCTTGGATGGAAATGGTAATATCAATACACCTTAATCGAGCCCACAGCTGACGCAGTTCTAACCCTGAACATATCAACAGTAGTCAGGATGCCGTAGTGATGGTGGCATGATGCATGGGGCTCTAGAGAAAGCCCGTTGTATATTGTTATTGTATTGATGCAGGGAATCTATTCAGATGAAATGCTGAGTTCACTGTATCCCGCTCTAGTTTAACAAGATAGCTTCCAAAGTAGCACAATCGACTCTTCAGAGAAGGAAAGAAAGCAGCTAGTCAGCAAAGAAGAAACCATTGCAAATAGTTTATCTAGGCGCCTTTCTGAATGCAAGTGTGTGGTTAGCTACACAATAACTCAACATCAGTTCTTACTTTAGTTTTGCTACTAAAGTAAGTTAGGACATAAGTCGGCATGACTCCATGTTTTTTTTTACTCACATTGGCATTTCCACCCCGCAGGTTCTGCTAAATAATCAATAAAAATAAAATCAAAAAAAAAAAAAAACCTACTTTCAAAGTGTTTAAAATCCAATAATTAAAATCTATAATTTATATAAAATAGGAAAAAAAATAGTTTGGGAAGTCTATGTCTCCAGGTCTAGGTCGTAAAAAAAGATTATTTTATACCGGGGGGGAGGACAGCATGGATCCCAAGACATTAAATCAAGATGAGAACTATTAACTCAGCCTTTGTCAAATATATGTTTGACTAAAATGTCCAAACTTGTCTGATCTCAGCTATAAACCTTTTCGCTTTGAATTACATGGAAGATGTTGCTTTTTGGGTTAAAAGTATCTTTGTCCCCCTCAGTGAAGACCATAAACATGGAAGAGTTTTTTTTTTTCCTTTGGAGTGAATCTACCTGATGGTCATCAACTTACAGTACACAATGTTAAGACATTTGTTTGATAATGCTACTCCCACCATTATAATAATAATGGGGTATTATCTGAAAGATTCTCTTCCGATAAAACAAGGTCTGTCGAGGACAGTTGCCAGTAAAGCTCTTGGTAATTTTCCAAAGCAACTAGAGATCCCTCGTGGGCCTTAATATTAGACCCAAACACCATTTCATTTTCTCCTGTAATTGCACCATTTTGAAACGTTAAGTGCTGTGTAGAAAGCTATTTTACAGAGTCGTAATTATTGGTGTGCAAAAGATAATAGGTAGGGTATAATAGGTAGGTATCTTTGTCCGCAGATGCTACAAAGAATAGAACCACAACACGCTTTTCCCCAAGTTGCCTCCATTGTTTCATTTCTCTCCCTAACCTTCTTTCACTTACATATTTCTTACATTTCACATGTCAGTTGAAGAGATTGTGTCGGTATTCAACCCTGCTTCCAGACAAACGGAATGGGACCATTTCTCTAAAGCTCAGCAGAAGTTGGTATTTTTATTGCCTTCAAGTTATATTATTGCATCTACAAGTACGTATGTAGCAGTGTGTAGTTTTAGTAAGGAGCTATCTATCTACGTTATTGCACATCAGGCTTTGTAGCGGCACGTTGCTGAAACATCTCCTGTGCTGAATGTCAATGAAGACTTATTCTTAGTGAATATTCATGTGCAGTAACTAAAGAGAGTGGCCTTCATTCTGCTCCATCCCCTCCAGATGTGTAAGTGCTTACACATTTGTTTCCAGAAATAGATCATGTCATTAACAAGCATTCAGAGTCGCTGCTGGGAGCTATCTTCATTAGTGTTGATACATTAAGCACACTTTAAACTTTAACCCGACTTTATTGATTTGCTGTTGGGCAGGGCACCACGAATCTACATATGGATGTTAGATTGTTAGCTAACGGTAGTCCACGTATAAAACTCGGATTCAACATCCATGGTGTCACAATATATAGACGATTCTTAGATGCTTTAATGAAGAAAATTTAAATACTGTTAGCTAAGTAAGTTATTCCTTTTTGTTTTGGCCCATTCTCTATTTCTGTAAAATCATTATGCATGCTTTTATATTGCAATTAAAACACCCTTCTAGGGAGAGAGAACTGCTTTTATTCTCCGTATAAAACATCTATGCATTCTCACATTAAGGGGCAGGTGAGAAATACTTTTTGAGTACATTATATTTAAAGTGTTTGTTTACTTGTGTGTGATGGTCACTGACTCTTTCCAATGATCTGTCATTAGCAAGAGTAGCAGGCTAGAGCATGTGGAGGATGATGTATCCTAGTAATTCTGGTAACCCTTTTACTTTTTAACAACAGCACCATGATCAAGTCATGTCTATCTATGACGATGGCAATCTCAAAATAAGCCTTCATCACTTGTAACAAGCGTTCAATACTCACCAGCAAATGCCAGATAAACATTAACATGTTGCCCTTGTCCTTGTTAGCATATTACCAGTCTGACTTTATTGATTAATTTAGCCTAAATGAGAGCATCCTTAGAGATGGTAGATGGTTGGCACAGCCATATGTCCGACTTTCATCCGGCAAATCATTTGTTTTTAACACACAATGTAGTTGGCAGAAGCTCCCTGACCTGACAGACAGCGACTTTAACCCGTCGTATCCCTGTGAAGCTTTTTGCTACATTCTTTATTTCTGTATTTTTAAGTTTTAAATGTCACACACACATCGAGGTTGTTTATCACATTTTCAGAAGGGAGAACTTCATTTTAAAGTGAAAGGCTTGATGCAATGGGAACCCTGGAGAATCAGAGGCTCATATTAGTGCAGAGGCTTCTGCTGGGTCGGAAATCTTCTGCACAGACAAAATGTCACGTCCCTTCTTGCTCTTTCTAAGGTGAAGCCTGTTAGCAGTTTTCACTTCCTCTTTGACATGGCACAGGAAACTGGAGGGGACAAATTAAAGAGGTGTTGGTTGACAAAAACAGATCTAACCTCGATTGCCTCTGTTGGATGTTGTTGTTTTTTTTGTGTGTTGCTAAACTACTTTTGAGTTTAGTTGGAAAATGTCTAAATCGTAATGCTGTGTCTTCAGTAACTGAATATAGATTCAGTTCATTGGAGCATTCAAGATCATTCTTGGTGTCAACAGCAAGATATCAGATTCGTGAAAAATGACAGTGCTCTTTGATCTTTAGTTCTTCAACATGCTCAATATTCTGTTTTAATCCAGCTGACTTTTTTCTGTCCTGTACTTACACTTAATAGGAAAGGCTTTGTGCCTTCCAATAGGATAATAGAACAGAGGCAAGCCGTGTGTGTTTGTGTGTGTGTGTCTGTGTTTACCACCCATTAGTTCGGTAGGGGGACACTAGGATCTCTCTCCTCAGGTCAGAATGTACTTGGCTAACCTTGTCAAAGTACTTTCACATCATTTTGAGTTATTTCATCAACCAAATAAGCATTCATATTTTACACTACTTGTTGCCTCCAATGTCAGTTTCAAAGGGGGACGCGTTACTCTGTCGCCACTTTCCACCTCTGACTAATGCAGCACGAGCCTGTGTGAGGACGGTATCATTCACACCACGCAGGTGTGCGTGTTTATCCAAAGGCCACATGTTTGCATGTCTGGTTTCTGTTAACCTTTAGCTGAACAATGCACTGCAGAGATGGCTGTGTGTAAGTGTGTGTGTTTGGCATTGGTTAGCAGTATATCCACAATGCAGATAATTAATTGGTCCTGTTTTCAGGAGATTAGCATGCAAAAAACCTTTAAATCCTGCGGACTTTGAAGCCTCAAAACCTCAAATGTGACGCAGATGGATGTCCAGCGTGTCCTTAAATTGAGACAAGATCTAAAAAATGAATAATTTTATCCCTAAAATAGGACGCTGAACTGTGACTGCAGCCCTTGCAGCGCTGTCCACTGTACTTTTGAATTTCTCTACTGTAAACATTAGCCCACACTACCGTTTAAATCTCTTTTCCAATGAGTGATTCTTGAGTCATGTAATTCCTGTTGTTGAAGAAGTGGGTTCAATCAAATTGGTTCCCTAAAAAATTGCATTACAAATGTTTGCAAAGGATCCCCTGGAAATCATAAAAAACAAATCATTGAATTCTAAACACAGAGATAGCAATACAGGGCATGCATTACCTCTGAAAATAACGTTTAATCTCATATAAAAAACTGGCAACACAATAACAGATAAAAAACAGTACAGAGCAGGAAATAGGAGCTTATCTTTTGAAATTTCTTTTCCGAGGGAAAGTTGTGCCCTTTAGGCTTCATATTGCGGGTCGCTTTGTTATTATTACTGCAATGAATCTCTGCAATGATAAATCTGATATGCGGAAAGAAATGGTGAAATTAAACAGGGAATAAGGCTAGTAGTGCTGAAGCTCCTTCTAAAAAAATGTGTCACATTGGAGGCGCTCTTCATGGAATTTGATAAATGATGTGGCCGGGTACACAGAAAACGTGTATTCAGATACACACAAGCACAGAGAAGCTTAGAAGGACATCGTCCAACTGGAGTTATGCGCGATGGTTTTTGTCACAGAGATTAATAGGAGCATGAACTGTCCCTCTCCCCGAGGGGTGCAAGTGTGTGTTCATGCATGCCTACAGGTGCATTTGTTTGTTGGCGTTGATTATATTCAGAGAAAACACAGGGGAAATTGAACAGATTCTGGCCAAACTGATTTTTCTTTGCCAGCAAGTTAATAAGACTTGCTGATCAATACTGTCCATCGTCCAAGCCTGACCGAACGCTGCAAGGGGAAACACACGGTTGCACACAAACTGGGTTATCCGTGTCCATCTTCATTTGATCATTCATTTTAACATTAATCATGTCCCACAAATAGCTTGAGAAGAATAGAAATTAGTTATTTTCACATACAGACATTTAACATTATGCGATCATCAGACTGACCCATTTAAATGTGATTCACATATTAATCATGGTGATGAATGTACACAATTCAGGATGTTGTTACCATCTAATCTATGCCATTAATTCAGCACCGTTCTGGAAGAAATTATTATTATTGGGTGTCTTTTTGATTTGACGGCCAGTCATTGCAACAGTGGGCTAACATTTAAAATAATTTAATTCATAAATTGTGACGTCGATTAATCCCTCTCCACACCATCTGAAGGATTGAGATGTGGAGTTATACTGTTTAGTTTATTGCAGTGGTGGAAAGAAGGAACCTTTTTTACGCTACCCACATGTTCTACTTACTTGTGTTTTAATGGAAATGACTGTAAACAACCAGAAATGAAATATTCTATCTATCTATCTATATTCCATTCTATCTATGTAAACTATTCCCATAAGTGGTCTTGTGATTTAAAAGTGAAAAGGCAAATACATGTAGTAGACATTAATAAAAATAAATTAAAAATAAATCTTTGTAAAATGTTGCTGATGTTATCCCTGGCATCAATGACAATTACACAGAGAAAAGGCTAAAATAAGTGTAAGTGTACTACAGGTGGCATCCAACTCTTGAGCTGCCTCATATGGAGAAAACGAACATGGGAAAGAGTTTGTTTTCAAGATGTAGTTGATTAATTCCAACAGCTGATAGAAGGCTCAGATTCTGTAATGTAGTAGTGTTCATTTTAACTGTAGCCCCAGAAAAAAAGCTTGATGGGTGTAATCTATCAAAACTTCATGTCGGACAGTCAAGCGGCTTCAGAAATCTCCATTATCCTCATGTTTAAACAACATCACGTCAGGTCCATCTCTCTTTGACGGATGACTTTCCACCCTGTATGTATCAACATGTGTATCCAGTGACACACAATATTTATAAATAAATATTTATTTATTTAGAGGTACACTAATTCAGTAGATTTGCTTTTTTTGTTGTGGCTTTTATTCACACTGCGGTGAGTGTGAATTGAATTTCTCCAGGAAACTTAATAGGAGAAAAGGAGAACCGCATTGAAGTGAAAAGCCTGTTTGGAGATAAAAGGGATTTTTTTTTAAAGCATTGTGTTTTAGTGCCTGCGTAGGAACATCCTTTCTTAAACACTCCGATACTAAAAGGTGGACAATAATTATTTGTCTCTGTGGAATTTCTCCACACTTTTATGAAGATTAAGAGTGAGGATTAACTTTATGTTTTGAAAAAAATGTCATGGAATTACAATGAGGTAAAAGAATACATGAAAATGTACTAAAATTGCACTAATATGTCATTCTGACAGGTACTTCAATGTGGCCTTAAACGGTGGACTAAATAGGGAAACAAATCTCACATTTGACAGAAGTCAAGTTTTCAGATCTTTCATTAATACACAACAAGACCTCATTGTGGTGGAATTTCGTGGATTAAGCCCTTGTGAGATATCAAACGTATCGTAAACTCGTTTGTGATCAAGTATTTATTACCGGTACTATCTAGAATATAGAAAAATAGAACAGAAATCATCAACACAAGCCGTAAGTACAGACAGAAAGTCAAATGACTCAATCCAGCTGAAAAGGGTCAGATTGTTCCCTCTCCTTCAGAGGAGCAGGAAGATCTGACCAGCTTTTAGGTGTAAAGAGAATCCAAAGGATCTGAAGAGGTCACAGAGGAACCAAGACAACTTGCAGTTTGCATAGAAAACATTTTTTCCCCAACACTCATAATTTCATGCATCAGTTACTGTTCTTGTTGGTCCTTGGAGACGAGATAATTATAAAGTTTGCACAGGAACTAGACCGATTAAACCTTGGCTCATGATGTACTATTGTGTGTGTTTGTGTACCCGTAGTAGCTTCCCAAGCGGAGGCCTTAAAAGAGGAGAACGGCTCTCTCTCCACTGCCAGCTGGACGCCTACAGGAACGGGGTGGAGCTCCTCAGTTCCTGTTCTCCTCAGAACAGGAACAAGGCAAGAAGCACCCAATGAGCAGCGAGGAGGACACCACACACTCAGAGCAGCTCAGCTTCCTGCAGCAGGCCCTGCATGCAGAAGGTGAGGTATCACATTGGAACGTACTGGAGATGGGTCAAACATCAGGGAGGAAAATGAGAAAGAAAAGTAGCGAATGAAAAAGACAGAAATCATTAAAAATATTTAAATTACATTTATCCAAAGATGGAGTGGATTGGAAAAGAAGACGTATTTATGAAAGGTTACCATGTCAGTAGATGTGTCCTGTGATTCACGATTCCACCAGGCAGCTGTTATCACAGGGAATAAGTTAAAAATGAGCTTTATGTTATTGGGTAACATTAAAACCAGATATATTACAGCTCATTTAGCTGCCGCTTTTATCCAAAGCGACTTAAATTGAATTTTTAACCCAGGGCCTTTTTAAATTTTTGCCCGGGGAGCAATCAGGTGTTAGGTGTCTTGCTCAGGGACACTTCGACATGGGACATGGAGCAGCCGGGGCTTGAACCACCAACCTTGCAGTTTCCGGCGCATGCGACTTGATGCAAATAGATATCCACCTGAAGGAATATAATTCTTGCACTTGTCTTTTTCCTCTCCAAAAATCATTTTCTGTTTTGAGCTTTTTCTTCCCATCAGAATAATAAGCAATCACTTGAATGTCGCTTGATTCCAAAGCACTCTTGAAATGAGCCGCTTTGCATTGAAAACTGCTCAAATTTCCTGGCTTACTAATCAAGCAAAACAAAAGCCCCATTTCTGTCACGCAGGAAGTACTTTCGACTGGACACGAAAACAACCCTGATCCACTTTCTGTGTGGTTTAAATCAGCGAGAGTTAAATTGGCTTTAATCTTGTGATTCCCGCTCTGTTCCGGGAGGACTTTTTAAAAATCAACTCCTACCAGCTTTGGCTTATCAGGGCTGATAGTAATCAGTAATTCAACAGTCAAAGAGTGCTGATATTGCAGGTCATGCTCAGGGGCGTTAACATTGCAATGTTGCAACTAAAATGTATTTTAGATTCATTTTTAATTTTTTTTCATACCAAATGTGCAAAGTAGCGCTACCACTGTGCACCTACGGTGGTCTATAGATTAACGGCACATCCTTGGTGGGTCGGCGCAAACCAACCAGAGCCCTTACAGGCCGGAGTCAGACACCACACCCCACCTTTCAGCAGACCCCACATGTGTTCGGTGTGCAGCAGCGAGGACCCTGGCCTTATACGAGTGCAGTGGGTCCTTTGTGCTACACACCTGGACTCAGATTCTGTCCGATTACACCGTTGCTCAGGTCCGCGTTGGTCCCAAGACGCAATGTACAAGGAAGGATGATTAATGCAAAATGAATGCAGCAAACAACTACATCCTGGTATCGTCGATATGCAGGTTTGCGGCCTTTTCTCCATTGTATATCAACTGATATATTTATTTTTTCTTTGTTATTAATAATGCAAGTTATTGAAAATCTTCATAGAAGTCTTCATAAGATGTACCATCACATTTGTTGATAAATAAACGTATTTCTTGTAATAACCATTATTTTAATAGACAGATGAGATCTATAACGTTGCTTTTTTCTAAAGGTTGAATGTTGTTTGTTTATGTTTACAATGTAATGTGGTGAGCAAAGGTCTCCTGCCCCTTTTTTTTTATTGTCTTGCCTGTAGCTCGATTTGAAGATGCTTGTTTGGAAGCTACAGGCATGTTTTTGTGGAAGGGTCATGACTTGATGTGTGGTAATAGAGTTTGGCATTTAGACAGAAATTACACCTTTTAAATGCTTTAAAAAAAAAGAGAGAGAGAAAAAAGAGAAGCATCAAGAACTCGGGCTGTAGGCTGTTTTAATAGAATATTACCCTCGGCAACATTTAGTTATCCACTTGGAAAAAAGAGGCAACGCTTCCTCAGGCAATCCATTTTTCTGATCACCTGCTGTGTTGTCAAATAGCCTCAGCTTTCAGTTACTCTTCCTTAAGCAATAGAAAATATTGTTTTCCAGGCAGAGGAGCTTTTCTCCACCTCCTTCGCATTTGACAAAGAGGATTCTAATCACTTTTATGAAATGTGCCTCCAGCACGCAAATGGAAATATCAGTAGATGATTTGAGCGCTTAGTAATACGTTTCAGCAGATGTGCGTATCTCGGAGGTGACTTTGAAATTTAAAGGACATTTTTATTGTCTGCTAGAGCCTTTTTCATACATGAAAAAAATACATCCCATAATCCTCCTTCTGACATTGTCAAGTATGTTTTTTTTTCCTCTGAAGGGTTGAATGTTGTTTTCCCGATGCGGCACTGTGCAGCCACGGCCTTTTGTTTGTTATTTAGAGCAGCACCAAGTGTAAACTTTAACATACTGTATTATGTATTATATATTATGGCGTACTGATCGTCTTTTATTCATCAGGGAAATTATATTGTGATACAAACACACAATATGCCCGAGATGTTTGCTTTCTGTTTACCAAAATGTATAATGCAGACAGAACACAGTCTATGTTAATGTGTCATCAAAAAAATTACAATGTAATTGTATCATTCATTTTCTGGATAATATTTCTTGATGTAGGTTGATATGAATGAGGGCTCAGAGATGAGCACAATATGTAGATAAAGGTCCGTCTGAATCTCTCCCTGGATTCATCAGTGCTCAGTGTTCACCTCACTTAACATACTCTGAAAAGCAACAACTGATGAATAATTTACCATCACATTAAAAGGATGAGCTGAGGAGGAACCGTTCATTTTGAATCTCTCCCAACAGGAATTGTACCTCAGATTAATTTATTCTGTCAAAGATTAGCTGGTTAAACAGGACTAAAATAACCATTCTTAGCCAGCCTTCCTCTTCTTTTTCCTCCTCTCATTCTTTTACTCCTTCTCTTTTTTGTTTAGCAACTTCTGAGGGATGAGTTGAAGGAGCAATCTGCAGAGCTTGAAAAAACTATATATAGAAGACAAACAGCAATTGAAGAACCAACTCTATGACCTCACAACAGGACCGCACAACCTGCAGACTACACACACACACACACACACACACACACACACACAGGTCAGAAGAAAACAAGCACATGGTTACCAGTAAATGTTATATGGGAAACCTGATGTCCTAAACAAAGATGAATCCTGAGGAACCCTGATTTATCAATTTGTGCTCTACCAGCTTGTGTCCATGTTTATGACAAAATTCTGTGGAGAAGTAGAACAGAGCAGCAGCTGGATGGTAGGAGAGATTATTAGATGAAAATACCTCAATCCAAAATCTGGTTTACACTCCAATACACTGGATGGCTATTGCTGATAAGAAATGGAAGGAAAAAATGAAAGCTAAGAGCTATAAAAAATAGGGTTTGATGTTGTCCATCCATCCATCCATTTTCAACCGCTTATCCGGGATTGGGTCGCGGGGGCAACAGCTCCAGCAGGGGACCCCAAACGTCCCTTTCCCGGGCCACATCTACCAGCTCTGACTGGGGGATCCCAAGGCGTTCCCAGGCCAGTGCAGAGATATAATCTCTCCACCCAGTCCTGGGTCTTCCCAGCTAGCCGTGCCTGGAACACCTCCCTAGGGAGACGCCCAGGGGGCATCCTCACCAGATGCCCAAACCACCTCAACTGGCTCCTTTCGACGCAAAGGAGCAGCGGCTCTACTCCGAGCTCCTCGCGAATGGCTGAGCTTCTCACCCTATCCCTAAGGGAGACGCCAGCCACTCTCCTGAGGAAACCCATTTCGGCCGCTTGTACCCGTGACCTAGTTCTTTCGGTCATGACCCATCCTTCATGACCATAGGTGAGGGTAGAAACGACTTGGCCTTCTCCAAGTCCACAAAACACATGTAGACTGGATGAGCATACTCCCAAGCCCCCTCTATGATCCTGGAAAGAGTGAAGAGCTGGTCCGTTGTTCCACGACCAGGACGAAAACCGCATTGTTCCTGTTCAATCCTTGGTTCGACTATCGGCCGAACCCTCCTTTCCAGTACCTTAGAGTAGACTTTACCCGGGAGGCTGAGTAGTGTGATACCCCTGTAATTGGCACACACTCTCTGGTCCCCCTTTTTGAAGACCTTTTTGGTACCACCACCCCTGCCACTCTTTTGGCACTGTCCCAGACTTCCATGCAATGTTGAAGAGGCGTGTCATCCAAGACAACCCCCCAACACCCATTGCTTTTAGCATCTCTGGACGGATCTCATCAATCCCCAGGGCTTTGCCACTGCAGAGTTGTTTGACTACTTCAGTGACCTCCACCAGGCCAATTGACGATGATCCCTCCTCCGCCTCCAGCTCCGCCTCTACCAAAGAGGGCGTAGTAGTTGGGTTCAAGAGTTCCTCAAAGTGTTCCTTTCACCGCCCGATAACCTCCTCAGTAGCGGTCAACAGGGTCCCATTCTTACTGTACACAGCTTGGATGGTTCCCCGTTTCCCCCTCCTGAGGTGCCGGATGGTCTTCCAGAAGCACTTTGGTGCAACATCAACCCCCCACCAAAGGGTTTGATGTAGCGAAAAGTATAATAAAAAAGGGATGAGCACTTTAGCATGTTATAAATGCGTTAAGCAATCCATTTACTCGATGATTTGATCATGCGTTGACAGCATTTCTTTTTTAGCATTGGGAGGGGTTTAACACTGCTGAGAGATTTGAAGGAATGTGTTAAACAAGTGGATGCTAAAAGTTGATTTTGTCATCGTGTAGCTGCTCAACCTGCATCAATGAAAGTGTTTTTTTCTCCAAAAGAAATCCACAGGCTTTACAGACTAAAATGACCCTGCACAGTATATTCCAGCTGTGTACTTTTTTGTGCTAGACCACTTTGACTCACTCTAACAGGAACCCATTCGCCTGAACATAGACTGGTTATGCTGTTCCCCGATGAAAGACAAATGTTTCTTCCGGTACCTGTTCAGAAATAAGAAGAAAACAGATTTACATACTGTACGTTAACCTGCTGTTGCTCCAAGAGTGTCTGTTACATTGTTCTAATAACATCACTCTCAAATAAAAGCGTGAAATACACTTTTTTTAAATGATTGGATTGATGATTGAATTATGCCCATAGTGCGATTAAAGTGCTGTTAATCACATAATCATACAATTAATCGAGTTATTTTTCATCTTTTTCCAGCACTAATTATATATTAAAGTGAGCTGAATGTTGAAAGGGAATAACACTTACACTGGAAAATGTCTTCAAGTATCTTGAATTTCAACTGGATATATTTTTTACTTTTAAAGTGTCACTCCCGACTTCAAGATACAACCTGTAACCGTTCCCTCCCTGGGAGAAGGCATTTAACGGAAAATACAATTCTTCAGTGAACGTTTACACCCAAATGAGATTTAGTTTACAATGTCCTTTTGAAGGGGAAAATGTTTGCATAGCTCAGGAAAATGACCACTGTCACAATGAAGCTGTCGCTGTCATGTCCTCCGTTTGATTCTGAATGACGGTGTCACTTCACAAAACAGGATATGGGTTTTTAGGAAAGCCATGTCAGAGGATACCTGTGATTAGAAACTTTAATGTGAAGTAAAAAAAGCGTTGTCTCCTGTATTTACCGTCAAGGTGCCCTTGGAACACTGAGCAACTCGAATGCAGTTTGTCCTTTAATTTTAGAGTCAAAAGCAGTGAAGAAACCAAACAGTCCTAAACCGTAAAGTGAAAATTCACTGCGTCTCTATCCCAAATCTTTTTGCCGTTCGGCTATTGACACACAGCAGAGATTGTATTCCGTAGCAGGTGTGCTCTTTTACCTTTTGCTGGCCTTTATTGGTAACAGGGAAGAGAGCGAGAATGAGATTGAGCCTTGAGTTCAGTCGGCTATGTAATTGGATAATTATGATACTAAAATGGTACTGTCAAGTGCTGCCTGATGACTCTGGTGGTTTGCTGTCTGCTCTCGTGCCGTCCTTTTGAGTCACAGAGCCGCTGGAGTTTTTGCTTTGAGCTGACGGAAGGTCGCACAACTTCTGATATTCAAACTATGTGGATTAGCTTTTTTTATGCTGTTTTCCGTTAATAGCCTAATGTTTACAAGCAGAGCTGTATAGTGGCAGAGATACTTACTCATCTGGACCATCTGGTGTTTGCATGCTTGGGATGTTTTTTTTATGCTATCCTGGCCTGAAATGTGGGTCTCTGGGTGTTCGGCATGCACCAAATCTTGTCTTGTGAGACTTGCGCGTAGCGGCTGTTACTTTACCAAGTAGTCGGAAGGAAGGAAGCCTGGTTATGAAAGTCACAACGTCTCTGCTTAAGTTCTAGATCATTTACTATAACTGTCTGTTATAAAAGTTCTGATGTGGAAGTTTGACTGGTGGAGACAGCAAGGTTTGAAAAATAGCACTATTTCCACTTTTGAGGCCCCCTTTGTCAGTAAGACTCACAAACAGCGACACGAGTTGGTGAGCGCAGAGAAGAGGAACACAAACGTTGTGTCTCAAGCAGCTTGACGAGCTGCAGCTTCATCGCTCTCCCCGACCGTTTGTTTCCCAGCAAGTAGCCTTCACCACACGTGTAGAGCACACATCCACTCAACTTCCTCCACTTAACTTCCACCACACCGGCCGTGATCTGATTTAGTAAAAAAAAACTCATGGTTTTGTTTAAAATGCTAAAATTGTAAAACATTAAAAGTCAACATAACTAATAAATAAAGGTTTTGGCAACAAAAACTACTTTGTTAAGAAAGGACATCCACCACACCAACCGTATCCCTGTGTAGACTTCCACTGATTCCTTTTGAAACTAATTTATAATAAAGCAAGAGGAAATGTAAAAAAAAAAAAGACGCTTCCCTCAAAACGTGATTCACAATACAGTTCAGTGGAATGGGAATGTCATTTTCCGGAGGGCGGCAGATTCATGCTGTCATTGAATAGGTGGGGAAATATCCAAACATACATACACTAAGACATACATTATGCCAGCACATTGTACAGGTCACGAGCGCCACTCACACAATTTGATAGTTCATTGCAGTGTTTACATTAGATGCAAGTTTATATATTCATTTACAGTGTGCGTTCACGCTGCATCCTAGCTGTCAACGCTGTATTCTGTTCCAAGTCTCAACACTGCGTATCTGCTCCGTAATGCCGTTACCAGGTCCGTCCCCTTGTCTCTTCCACTCATCAACTCTCAAGATGGAATCTTTCATCGTACACCTGTCATCGTTGTTGTCATCGTGGCCCCGGTGCCTCCAAGATACTCTAATCGTGTTTAACAGCATGTCAATGACGGAGTGTCATCTGAAACCCGTTAGTTTCCATTCAAATGCCCTTAGAAGGCTATTTTTAAGTATACGGATTCTATGTTTATGCAACTATGATTGAATAAAGATTTATTTAAAGTAGAGGAAGAATTCTTTATGTATGTATGTTTTTTATAGATACAATTTGACTTTTGCTTATCGAACTCAGTTTCAGAAACCTGAACAGAAAAGGCCCCCCAGAGACTCGGCTGTGTGTGTGTGTGTGTGTGTGTGTGTGCGTGACTGAGGGCGTCGGAGAGGGATGGAGAGACAGTTTTGGTGTGTCTGATTGCATTAGTGGGTGATTTGTTTCTCATTGACGTTTCCCTTTATTTTTCTAATTGACTCTAGCTGCAGACGTTGAAGCAAGATGACAGAGCGAGCGAACGGAGTACTAATCAACTCAGTTTAAGTGGGGGGAAAAACCCGCTGAGCTCTCACTACTCCACGTTACATTATTGTCTTCCGCTTTTATTTTGACTTATTTCACCTCCTCCCCTCCTGCAACCTCTCCACTGACAGGAAATATGATTGCAAGCCAACCTTCACAGGGGCTGTACTTGTCACCGACTAAATCACCCGGACACAACTAGGTTAGAAAATGAAGGACGGGCACACGGTGCAAATACATACTTGCGCACACTCTCACATATCACCACGATCTGACAACGTGGCCACTGTGTCCTGATTTGACTAGAGAGGAAGCCGCCCATTCTTCCCCACAACTCTCAGTTGACAAACTTCCCCTCATTAATTCATGAATGTCTTTTTCTGCCACACCTGCCCATCTAAATATCCTCCTCTCTCCTCACTTCTGTGTATCCGGCTGTCACAGGTTCACAGAAAACATTCGATCATTAGTAGCGTTACCATTTCCTCTGTCTTCTTTTGGTTTCCCTCTACATTAGAAGTGTAGATGCTGGCTTTATTTTTATTAAACTTCGTGCAGATCTCCGTGGTACCCACATCCTAATGTTTCTCTGAGTTTATAGATTTTTCTTTCGTGCATTCATAAGGTCAAAAATCCCAAAATGAGGCCGATGGATAAATGAATAACCATTCGAGGAAATGATTGTGAATGGTGGCGAGTTGCGTTAAGATAATAGAAAAAGAAGTTGACATTTAGTGAACTGTCAATGTTATTTGGCAATTTTAGTCTGCCTTAAAATAAAAATGGAGATTTGAGAAAAAGACCTAATGTCGATTTACCTTTTCAAGAAACAATTAATCTCAGCCCAGTAAAGTTGTAATGGATACAATAATGATTAAAAAAAAGAGGTTCCTGCTGGCTTAAACAGTCTGCTGATAATGACACAATTCATTTGTTAATTGAGTCACCGTTGTGCAGAACATACGTACTGAGGATGTGCTAAATAGTACATCTGTAATTGACCCTACAATGTAAAACTGACCTGAATGTAAAATTTTAGTTTTTTTATATCACTTTAGTATTTTAATGGTCCAGTACGATGATGGCAAATATATTGTTAATGGTTATTTAACACATTATTTGAATTAGGGTTTGAAATTGAGCTGAAAACGATTCCATTCCATCATGCCGACAAAGCCATAACCAGATTAGTAAAACAGGGATACTTTAGTTTCACAAAGGGACAGCTATGAATTGGACCTCATTATATTGTAACGCATTGTCGACTTGTTCTTATTGTCCATCCTTTGTATAACATAACCTCGACATGCACCAATAATGCCACCTCTACAGAGGCTGAATTTCTCGGATTTGCTTGTGTCACTTTGACGTAAGAACTAAGCATAATTACTCAGCCATTAGAGCAAGAAAGGAGGAAGATATGAAGAGAGAGAGACCGCTTCAATCATCACAATATGGCTTTTATGATAATAGGAAATATAAAATATCGCCAACATCTATCCCCCTAGTGTGTTATAAACTGCATTATTTATAGAAGTAAACAAAGCCTCGTCCTATTTAGCTGCTTGTGTTCCGGCATGCTGCATTTTCACACATTAATTGTCAAGGAGACCCGTTGGCACAGAGCATGAAAGATGAAGAGTCCTAATATTGTTAGGGAGTGAAAAGGTAATTCTTATTGTTCCATAGATTTTCACCTTTAGACCTTTCAATATCTGTCGATTTAGGTGCAGATACTGTTCATCCAGTGCAATAAATATCTGCATCTATCTGTGTGATCACCAGAAAAAATATATAACAGACAGATTACACGTGTGTGAGGAACTCAAAGACTGTAACCTTGTGACGACGTGTGTCTTTGCATTGTGACAGTTTAATTAACACTTTTGCTTGACCTATTCTACCTCAGGGATGCGCGTTCACCCGTTTGGAGCCAGCATCGAATATGTCTGTTCCTACCTGCAGCATTTGGACAACAAGGTAACTCTCCATCACACACACACACACACACACACAGATAAGGGTTTCATAGACATAGTGACGCAGATTCAATTTCCCTGCACACAGAAAAAAAAAGGTTCTTAAATGGTTATTTAGGAGGCAGTGTGGTTCTACAAAGAACCATCACCTACTTAAGAACCATTTTATCTATTAAATGGTTTTACACGCTTTTCATATGGTTCTTAGGGATATTAAATGGTTCTTTGAGATATTAAAGGGTTCTTAATTCATGTTCACATTTGCCTTCCTCATTTAAAAACAGCTAATATTAATATATTTGGAAAAATACAGGTAATTCTACTTTGGTACAGCCTCTCACTCTAACAGTAGCTGTTTTCCAGAAAATTCAAAGGGGGAAAGTTATGAAGGAAAACATAAACCAATCACGACCGTGAGATATCCGTCCGTCCCGCCTACTCCCTTCTTGACTGACCAACTTTTCACACCAGTAACCCCCAACTAAGATATTGGTTATTACAGAAAAGTATTGCTCTTGTTTTGTGTCACAGTCATCTTATCCGAATGTCTGAATAAGCTAACATTAGTATACATACAATATTGGGGCCTGTAGCTTGGCTGGAAGCTCCAGATTTCCCTAGTTTTTGGGTGCCGCATAGAATGTTAATGTTTTAACAATCGTCAGGTTTTTAAAACTGTTAATTTTGGATTTCGGATTTTTTTCCAATGGTACCTTGAGTGTTAGCTAGCTAACATTAGTTAACTAATGTTAATATCCTTTGTTGCACTAATGTTTACTAAAAACTTAACAGAGCTGCTATGCTACTGCCTGTGGGATTTATTTAAGATATCAATAGCTGATTAACTAACAAGGGGTTATGCTGCTGCAATCTAGATGTAAACTATCAACTATTCTTTATTAAATTTTTTTTACCAATTTAAAAAACGATGCCCTTGTTACATGCGCCATTAACTCAATGCAATGTTATGTTAATGTTAGCTAACTCCACACGATTAAAAATGCCACTATTTTGTGCTTGCTTGTCTTGTTTGTAGCTGTAGCTTGCAAGGTCAGAAAGCTACACATTATTTAATGTAGTGACACAAACAGGCTTTCATTTACGCTTTTTGACCAACTGTGGAAGATGAAACGGGACACTGTTTGAAATGTTTCTCAAGAGACAGCGCAGTAACTTTCTCAGCAGTGACGTGTTACAGCAGACAACAATAGTAATGGATTTTATGTTTTTTTAAGATAGCTGTAGACATTTTCGGATAATAGTCTACTTCTATTACACAGAATCTGTTAATACAAAGTTCAAATGAACACATGTGTGGCTACTGTCAACTGTATCTCTGTCTGAGTGTTTATGATGATAGAAAGTAAAATTACGTTTATTAATTGTGCTTTTCTTTTACTCAAGCATATTGATTGAGGAAATGACCAATCGATGGAGAGTTGGCAAGGTCTCTCTTTGACTGGAACAGAATGGTCTTAAAGAATATGTCTGACTGAGAAAGTGACATACAGTGACTGTATTGGTATAGGCTCAATCATGCACGGTTTGATATATAAGAGGCCAGACATGTCAAGAATAGTTCAAGATTTTGGGAAATATGTTTATTGCAGTCAGATTAGAAGATTGCCACAACTTATTGTTTTTGCGCTGAATAAACAAAGTAGCGTGAGGATGTTACTTGATGAGGTTTAAAAGTATTCAGGTTTGCTCAAGCTTCATATTTAGCTTACCAACGTGAGTGATATGCATCTCGCACGCTTCTCATCGAACGTGCTACAATAAAAAACTTTATAGCATTTTCCAGAATATCTGTTTTGCACGTGTTTGGCACATGGTGATGTTGTGTTTTAGATTCTGTCTGTGGCTGTTTGACTGTCGTATCTGTTGTTTCCACACTGACTGCACATCAAGCAGCCCACAGCGCTTTGTCAATACCTCCTGCTGAACTGCCCATCAACAAGCCCAATCCTCCCTGCTTATCTACCGGCACCACACACGGCTCCATTGTCTGTAATGATACAGCGGTTTCGTTTCCATGATGGGCCTTAATGCATCCTTACATCAGCACTGGGTTTGAATAACCTAGTTATTAATGAAAGACAAGACAGGGCTCCCTACGGCAGCTTCTACAGTGGATTTCTGTTTCTACTGTCACCTTGCTGCTTACTCTCAGCCCACGCGAGTGGCGTGAGGGCTCTAATGTGGCTCATATTGTCTTCACACTTGCTCTTTTGATCTGAGTTAAGTGGAAGTGTGAGAACCGAGTGTAAGCATACCGAAAATGAAGAGCAGAGGTGTAAGACGATGTGCGAGATTGTCTCTGTTCATTTGTGTGCAAAAGTAGTTATGGGTGACGAATATCTACGTGCAACACCAGCGAGGTTGAGGCTCTTCTCGCTCGGCTGCTTTGCACCCACGGACAGGAGATAACCGGCATCAGCGCCAGTCTTGAGAAACGCTGGAAGTTCTGCGGCATCAAAGGCATGACTCTTGCCGCTGACGGGTCTTCTGGGAGATGGAAGAGACAAGACGGGTACACAAGTCTGCACAGGTACACGGAGGACACTCCAGAAATGAAGGATGCCCCCAGCTAATGGAGATGCTGGGCTGCACCTGCAAAGACAAGAGCACAAACGATACACCACGGATCTCCGATCAGGAACGGTTGTTGCCTGTGGGTCTTTTGTGATGGCAAATTATTTTGCGGCATTTCTCTATAGCAAGAAGTGGGTGTATCTCATACCGTGTCATAGCGCACTCTCTCTTGTTCACTAAAGGTAAGAAAGTCCTAATCTCACAGGACTGGTTTGATTTTTATACCCATGCCCACAGTGGACTCACTGGCAGACCAGAATACGTGCTCTACATTGGAGGTCATCAGGGTCCACTTGTAGGCCACCGTTTGAGTGAGTACAATCACTTGAAAAAAACAGATGCAGTGTTCAGGTTTGAATTTCGGTTGTTTAGAAATATCCGTGTTAAATTACACTCCGATGTAGTTCTCAAAAGGACAATGAGACTAATCAGCAAAACGGGTAATCAAGAATGTTATGATCACACCATTTACTTTATATAAATCAGGAGAAGATTGCCGATCAGACCACATTCACCTGGTCCTTTCCAGGTCTGGTTTAGACAACAAAGACAGGTTATTTTCTATGCACAATTTAATTCCAAATTACTGACTGAATTGCGACCAACTTTTTTCTTCGGCTGTATTCATGATTATAGGTACAGAGACGTGTGCCCACAGACGATAATTGTGTCCCCTGCTTCATTGAAGCACAATGTGAAAATGAGCCTCCTCCTTTGTTTTTGCCTGCAAATGTATTCAAGACCCTCAGTACAAACAGTTAATAAATGTCTGAAGAACATTCGAGATGAAGTGGTCGATGCAATTTTCGCAATTCAAATGCAAGAATCAGATAGTTTGTTGGCTTAAAAAAAAAGTGCCTTGAAACCGATAACAAAATTATGCCACAAAACTTCAGAAAGTGGTGTATTTTGGGGAAATGCCTCTCCACGACAATATCCATTTCTTATACTGGACAGTCTGCCTCATTTTTTAGTAAATATATGTGGCTAATGAGACAAGCCTGATGATAAACCTCTACTGCCATCTCATGGAGAAATACAAAAATCAGTTTTACAACTGTTCACTCATCTCAATAAATTGTGTGATATTAGAAGTCTTCTGTGACTATCAGTTAAGAGTTTAGCTTTTAATATATAAGGGGTTCAGGATAATAAAAACAGTTAATTCAAATATTTTTGTGTAACAGCAGTTTGATTTAATTCAAACATTAATACGCACAGAACTAATTACCACAACCATATTAACATAAACAAATCTTGTGCAGGTCTTAAACAAACATTTTTGACATATAAATGACATCCGGCTTCGGTGTTGATTTAAATTATCAGCAATAGGTGACGCATTTTTAGCATTTGAGACAATCGTCCACACCTCGTTGAATGACATCGGTATGTTGAACGCTGAAATCCTCTCACACATCACACTTTAAAACGGCTCTCTAGTCCACCACGCAATGGGACATTTAAAGTGAATCAGCTGCATTGATTGTCCCTGTGCGATGAACAATGAGAACACTTCTGGGGGAGTAAATGGCTGACCGGTCACCAGCAGAGTGCTCGCATCCACACATGGAAGTCCAAATGCATTTTGTTTCGTCATTAACGCATTCATTGAATTCAGAGTCTTTTTCTCGCTCAAACCGGAGAAAGTGAATCCTTTCGTAGTCGTTCTACTGGTGCTGGGCGTCCATGATATCCAGGTACTTGGCGTCGATGACTCTGGGAAGCAGGCTGGTCCTGAGATAAAACACAGAGGGATGCTGTACAGTTACATGTGTGCCATGGGTACAGTATCAAAAGATATAAATCCTTCAGACCCGAACATTAGTGCAGACATTTCTTGCATTTACAGTCATTCAAACACCACGCCCTCAGATTTTAAGGCTATAATTGTGCAGCCTGCCACAAAATCTGTTTTTACCAGCAAATTCTTCCTCATGTGTCAAATCTGTACAGAAACTCTGCATGAAACTTCAACTCCAATGTAAACTCGGAGCACACGTTCACTCTTTTGGTTTCCAAGGCCCCACTTCGCCCCCTGTTGGCCCGGGTTGTCTCACCTGACAGGGACCAGCAGGATCATCATGAGAGGGAAGACCATCTTCATGTAGGGCAGAGGATACATCCCGAACGCACACAGGACGATCAGCTGGATCATCTGCAGCGCTGTGAAGTAGTGGACCTTCCTCTGAGGCACACGGCGAATGTAGTGAGTAGGAGGATAGGAGGTCTGGACAAATAAGAGTGAGTAATATGTGGTTATAATGAAGTGAGACTTTGTTTGGTTAATGTCAAAGAGGACTGGGCAGAAGCCATTGCGCTTGTAAATGCAATATGCTCATTTAAACGCTCTTATTGCAGAACAAATGACAAAAGATATTTTGTATGTCACAATTATGTAAAATTACTTTGGTTTCTACAATAAATGTTTATTGTTGTAACAACATACACTCACTGACCAATTTATTAGGTACACCTGTTCAATTGCTTGTTAACACAAACTGCTAATTAGCCAATCACATGGCCGCATCTCAATGCACTTAGGCATGCACACGTGGTCAAGACAACTTGCTTAAGTTCAAACCGAGCATCAGAAAGGGGAAGAGAGGGGATTTAAGTAACTTTGATCGTGCCGTGATGTTGGTGCCAGGCGGGCTGGTCTGAGCACGTGACAAACTGCTGATCTACTGGGATCTTCACGCACAACCATATCTAGGGTTTACAGAGAATGGTCAGAAAGAGAGAAAATATCCTGTGAGCGGCAGTTGTGTGGGTAGAAAAGCCTTGTTGCCTGACAACCAAATCAAAGTCTTGCATACCTGTTCCTTCAGCAGCAGGGCAATGCGGTCCACCATCTGGTTCCCATCAAGCGAAGTGGCCGCGATGTAGAGGAAGAGGCCGTAGAGGATGGGCTTTGGGATCCATTGAAGGGGAATGGGCAGCATGAAGACAGACAGGCCAATCAGGATGTTGGCCACTAGTGAGGTCAGACGAGTTTCCTTCACACTGACAATACTGTGTGACACAAAGGCAGAGAAGCGTTGCTTTAAATATACCATAAGACCTCATCTGACTAGAGAACTAGTCTAGTTATTATTTATTCTAAATAAATTAATAAATTGTATATTTATTGTTATTTAACTGAAATATCTTCCAAGAAAAGGGTCATTCTAAACTAAGAGGAAGGTCCACTACTTCTGTTTAAGACACGCTGGTGGTTTCGGTCTGTTTTTCGCTTGTTGCCTGTCCTTGTGTGAACTTTACGCACGTTGAGTAGAGGTGTCCGTTCTCTACGTGCTGCTCCACTTTGGCCAGCTGGCGGGCGTGCAGCGAGGAATGTGGGAAGGCGGCGTGCATCCATGGCAACCCTAGAGAGGACATCAGGATGTTGATAAAACCAGTCAGCATCAAGTCCCAGTGGAACGCGGTTCCTTTTAGCAACCTGGCACGCACGCACACAGACACGCACACACACACACGAAAGAAAACCCAAGCGGGTTGTTAATACAAACTGCAGCATTCAAATTCAACCGATTTACATTACAGAAGATACAATATAGCACAGATGTACACGTTATGCAACGTTCCTTGTCATGGTTTGTTAATCCCCTTACTTGTGTTCTGGAACGTGCGTGAGTGAGATGACAATGTTCTGGTCGATGAAGATGAGCAATGCGAGGAGGAAACCCAGGCCGACCGCACTCAGTGTGTTCATTGCCGACAGCTTATTAAATGGAGGGAAGTTGAAGATGGGGCCGTCGTGGACATTAAACACAGGTACTAGTAGGAGGTGGGTGAGATCCATTGAGAAAATTAGATCCAATATCTCAAATAGTCACATTTGCAAGGTAAAACACAATGATGACAACATGAAAAGCCTGTCGTGAGCTGTGCTGCTAGTAAGCTTTGTTCTTTTAAGCAACATTCAACACAGTGTCTTCAACCGACATTGATTCCGATCCCCCACTGGTTTGAAAGCTCTTTGGAAGCAAACAAATATGTTCTTCTTTACGCCTCCAACCGAGGATTTGTGAACAGCCAAAGGTGTTCTGTGACTTTCAGTCTCAAGGGTACTCTTCTATTAGTTCTTTTAAGCAAGAGATGTGAACTCACGCTGTATGTCAAGGAACAGGTAGGAGCCAATGAAGGAGAATACCAACACAGAGATCGGCAAAGCGCAGTCAGACACCACCTCCCTGACTCTGCCGCTCAGGTACGGGCTGCGGGGGGGAAAGGAAGCCACACATATTTCAACATTGTGCATGTCTGATGTAATAAATACTAAAAGGTTTTCAACTATTCATGTTACAGTAGTTACTTGAAACCTAATCCATGTGAAGTACAGGAAGTTTAAGGGGGCAGTGATTGCCCGGGAGTGAAAATAGACCCATTTATTTACCTTGTAATACACTGCTTCACTAGAAGAGTGAAAATCATTGCTATTCGACTCCTGGGATCCAATTATTTTTCTCATTGTCAGGGTCTCCCGGCTTTATAATTGCATGCCAATAAATGCAGTCATTGTAGTTGTATGTAGTTCCACAGCATATTTAAAGGAGTCAGATTGTTGTTTTAAAAGGAGACCCATTATACTCTTCAGTTTCTAACAGTATATGAAGTAGTTAAAATTAGTTTCACATGCTGATTACATGTTTATAAATAAAGAAAAATAGAACACCTTTGTGATCTCCACTATCATTTTAAGTTTAAACAATGCAATGAATTGAACCAGGTCAGGTCACCGATTGCTTACAGCTACACATTTCAAAACTACAACGCTCACCTGTAACCGGATCATTTTAAATTGTGTCACCGCGGGGATGCATTTAAAGGGTTGTGCCAGGTCTTTGTGTGTATATATTCCATATCATTGGAGCAAATGGTGCAGTAGGTAAACATACCTCCTCTTGATGAGGTAGAGGGCGTAACCCAGCCACAGAGTCCCCAGCATGAGCAGCAGACAGAGGACGGGCCGCTCTCTTGTTGTCATCACCAGAGCCTCGGGCAGGAAGACTGATGCATGTCCTTCCGAATGCCCCGTCGGAGACAATGTCTCATTGTGATGCCCGGGCAGGTTCCCTGTCTGGTTCTTCATCTGCTCTAGAATGTCTTTGATCTGCTCAAGCACGAGCGTGCTGTTTGTGGTCGCCAGAGTGGGCCCGTGGTAGAAGTGGTGAAAAACTAGGAAGTGAGGGCAAAAGAAGACAAAAGGATGACGCTGGACACACACTTAGTTGCTCATTTACACAATCCTTTTTGCATAAAGCAACAGTCATTGTGGTATTTGTTCAGATTCATTTTGATTTAATTTTGCGATGGTATTGCTGCCACTAATCCTATCTTATATTTTTCACGTTATAATAAATAATAACAATTTATTAACAACATACTCACCTCAAATGTTTTAAAAGAAAATTCATTTATATTTTATTTTGTGAAAGCAGGTCACAATTTTGGGCTTTAACAAGAAAAGGTTATGTGTAACGTTCAAGGTTGAATTGTATATTTAATCATCACATGAAACAAACAAGACAACGTTTATTTATGATAAGAACTATCTTCATTGTCAGGGTGGAACAAAATCCAGACATAAAAACCCTCAACATGTCGACACATTTCCTTGTCGTTACAATTCCTCTTTTGTATCTTTCATTCAAGCAGCGCACTGTATTCAAGCTCTTCTCAGTTAGATGTATTTGAATAGAAAACTACAGCTGGCTGAAACCTGTAAAGAACCCACCGGCTGCTCTTCTGTTATATTGTGAAAGACTACATCATATTTGCATTACAGAGTTGCCTGTTTTTCCACAATCCACAGGGGGCCCGTTTGATTTCATGCTTGCTTTTCCACCGTGATGGATGTATACATTTGCCGGGCCACATTACCCCTGACAAACAACACCACGGGGGCTTCGACATTCCCCTTCGGCGTGGAGAGACGAACATTCAGAACCCGGTAAAGTGCAGTCTGACCTTGGATGGACTTACTTTTGACAGTGCCTTTCAACGCATCGCCGACAAACGCTATGGAGATGAACAATGCGATGACTTCTTCCGTTGAGCTGCGAGATAACAGAATGTCCAAAGTAAAAAGCGTGGTGTGATCATTCATGTTTTCCTTTTGTTTTTTGTTTTTTTAACAAAAAGACAGTCATAACAATCCATCCAAGGCGAAATGTCGGCCCAGATAGCGTGATAGAGTGAAGATTTAACTAAATTCCTAATGATGTCGGCCTTTTATCAGTGACCTTTCCTCAGTGCATGGCCATGCCGCTGGCGACGACTGCTGCTACGAGTACGGGGCTTCTGCCTGTGATGTGCCACAGTAACCAATGTGGCGTTGTGTACTCACCGCTTGAAGAGCTTCATGAACAGGCTGACATTGAACAAGCCTCCGAGGATGAGGAACAGACTGTTCCACAGACCGATGCATGCGTAGAAAGCGTCAAAGTCCAGATCGTAGTCGTCGCAGATTCCCCTGATGACTGGAAAAAACAAGACAATTTCATTAAATCCTATTATTATCAACACACAGAACAATACGCCGGTTTAACCAGCGAGACACGACGCGCACCGCTGATGAAGATGGCCAGCGGCGCAGTGGTCAGTGGAATGACGAGTGGTGAGCCGGCAAACAAAGAATAGATCACTCCTCCAATGCACTGGCCAACGATGGTCTTCTGAACGTCTGTCAAAAAACAACCTCACATGACTAAGCTGTTAAATGTGAAGCATAAAAACTAAAAAGTTTTATGGGACGTTGACAGGAGTCCGCACCTATCTCTCCTCTGGTGCTTTCGTCATTCAGTGAACCGAATGCGATCGCAGGCAGCAGGATAGCGATGTAGAGGAAAATGGCTGTGGTGGTGTACTTCAGCAGACAGCGGTCCTTCCCACTCAGACCTGGGAGGATTATTACAGACGTTGGACAAAACGTGAGGCTGTCAAAGGAATCAATCAACGGCGCAATTTAATCAGACGCGTTCCCGCCTTACGAAGAGATGTTACAAGCACATATTGATACCGTCTGTGAAGTCTGATGGGTAGAGCGGGAGTCTGCGGCGGAGGTCGTCGTAAACACCTTTACCGACCCTAAAGAAATCCTTAAACTGGAGAAAAAGTCAGTGTGAAACAGTAGAAACATAAGTGTGTCAGGGCTGCAAAGCAGATACAGGAGGAGAATAGTTACAATAAAACAATAATTAGTCATAGTTGATTTACCTACTAATCAATTGACAGATTTTTTTTTTTTTTTTTTTACTATTTTGATTGTTTAGTTGGAAAAAAGCATGTCATGGTTTCAGCTCCACAAAATGTTGACCCGTTAAATGATGAATTAAGTAAGTAAGTACATGTATCTATATGGTTATGTGATATAATAGTACATAAACAGGTCACAGGGAACATTTTCAAACAGTGAGGAGCTATGCTTTTTTTTAAGTTCATTGTAACATTTAACACCCTTTGTGATATTAGTACTTCTACGTCAGTAGAAGCTGAAGAATTTTCACAAGTTTTTCTTTTTGCGCCTTGAACATGAAATACATTTTCAAACCCTCCAGTGCTACAGGTAGGAACCACACACGCTGAACAACATCACTTCATACATCTGTTTTAAGTAAATGTGTCTCTAAATTGCCGTGATACATTTGAGACACTTGAGGAGCAACGAAGCCGTAGAAGACGAGGATACTGGCACACCGGAGTGTTGTTTTTCTTTGGAACTGCAGAGCAGTTTAACAGGCTGTTTTGGCATAAACAACCTACATTAAAATGCAGTGTTGAAGCCGTTCACATCATCAGGTGTGGCCTCAACCCGTTGTTTGTTCTTTTACTACCCGGCCAGGTGCCTTCTCTTTAGGCAGTATCTGGGTACCCCCCACTCCCCCCCCCCCCCGTCCCCTTCCCCCTCGTCTCCTGCTGAGCACACACATTTCGTCTAAATTTAAATACTGGACATAAAGTACTTTATCACTAAATGGAGCTGCACACATTCTGCTGCCAGAGCCATGGCCGACTTGGCAGGTTTTTCCATGTTGTTGACCAGCTGCTCCTCGATCGGGTCTGGCTGATAATCAGATGATCCGGCCCACTACTTCACAGTGAAACGCGATATGGAGATGATATAAACTTTTTGTTGCAATTACTTTTCCGTATTATTGTGCTTTTGCTATTTTTTCTTGGCATCTAAGTTTATACAACAACCCTAACCCATGTTTGTCCAGTGTATATTCTCATACGTGCTTCTCTTCTCACACCTGAAGCGGTTTCCCTCGTCGTGGATCGGTGTCCTCGACTTCCTCTTTGGCCAGCTTCTCCGTGACCACGGAGAGCTGATGTCGCTGGAAGACCAGTTCCTGTTTGAACTCTTCCTGGGTTTTGGCCTCCAGAACCTTCTGTCTGAAGAAAATGTCTGAGAACATCGTGGCGAACGTTCTTCCGAGCTCAATGGCCGATTTGGTGCTTTTCTGAAAAGAGAAAGATGCCCTTTAACATGGACCCGTAATAAAAGCCCCAACACAGTTTGAGTTTCATAATCCATTACTTATTACCAATTTCCTATGATTTGGTGGTTGTTTTGCGGAATGTAACCCAAAGAATGAGAATTAAGATGACGTAGTTATATCCAAACGTCTAACTGAACCCTTGTGGCGTCTCTAAATGCACCTGATTAGGCTGAAAATGATATCTTATCAATAAATCATCTCATTAAATATCCCGAGAGAACCTCTTACAATTATTAGTTTGCTATCACGGAAATCTGTGAAAAACAGTTTCACAATAAAAAGGAATAGAATAACTGAATTTCCAACCAACCCAATCCAATTGGTGAAACAGTTTGCTCAGAGAGAAAGAGCGTTTTGAAAAGAGGAACTGAGAAGCGGCTCGGACCGTTCGAGGAGGGGCCAGGATGAGGATGACGTATCGGGCCTCGCAGCAGTTGACTCCCCAGTTCTGCGGCCTCTCCAGGCGGGCGATGCAGACGTGACGTCTCTGCAGGCTCCTCACACTGCAGCTGGGTTGACGGGAAAATAATTCACCTTGGATCAGTGGTTTAGAGATGATTGATTGTGCAGAATTACCTATTGGCAGGTGTAAATTAGCACGGAAAACAGGACGAAAACAACATTACCAAATTACAAAAAATGTAAACGGTCTCAGTATCCACAACATTCACCGAGTCAACACAGAACCCTTTCACGTGAATATTATTGCGGATGAACTCACAGAATACAAAGCCAGGACTGCTGGTAGTGAATGCCAGTGGTCGTAGCGGTCACACCCTGAATGGTCTCTGTCAGGAGGTGAACTGTGGGAGCACGAGAACATTTCCATTAACTAAAGAAAAAAAAAACAGCGTTCACGTTGATGTGTCAAACAATAAAATACTTCCATCTCGAATGGCCTCTCGTATGTTTTGCCCACCGTTGCACTCCTTCCCTCCAGCGTCCGTGAACAACGAGGTCATGACCTCGTCCGCATCACAGGTGCCGTGGCCGTCCTCCGCCAAGTGAGTCAGCATTCGCCTCAGGACTTCGTCCAGAGTGGCAGCCTTCTGATCCAAGAGGATGCTGGCCTGGGCCAGGAAGCTGTCCAGGTCTTTGTGGGCGCGCACCTCCTCCTGGAAGTTCATTGGCTTCACATACTAATGTGAGCCAGGGAGAAAAGGTTGTTTTGTTGGTGACGTAACAATCTCAGAGTGCAAACAGCTGAGGGGGCCGTTTTCTGATTTTACTGACAGCTTAACGCAAAGCACATGCTGCTTTCTGATTTAGCTCAGTTCTCAGATAGTCTAGAAAACAGGTGTTCGGATGACTTTGCTATTGTGAGAATTACTGAAAGGTCTTTACGCTGTGCATGCAGACGCTTCTGACAGAGGAGAGGCTTGTCGTGTCTTCATTTTATATTGATTATTTTGCACGGGCATAAAGTAGCTTTAAAAATATCAAACAAAATCTTACTTTTCTTGTTGTGTTCAAAAGCCCAAACCCAGGAAAGTCAGGATCTGCGAATAGAAGCAAATTTCATAGTTGTACACAATGGATCCCCATAATGAACAATTCTTACATACATCCAAAGGTATTGTAGGAAACAACTAAAACGTCTCTGTGGTATTAATATCTGACAGTTCATGTCCATGATCTTTTGTCTCCAGTATTATGACTGGTGGAATCAGGGCTTATTATTACTATACGATGAAAGTGACAAGATTAGGACAAAATGTAACAACAAGGCCCTTGGATGGGTTATTAACCTGCACTGTTGGATGATTTGCTCGGTCTGATTTCTAATCCCAGAACAAATCACACCACAGATTAAAACCGCTCTCTTTATTTAAACATACCTGAACCGCTGATCTGGATCTCGTCGTCATAAGTGGGATCCTTGGAAATATCGGGTGAATCTTTCCCACAATCCTCCTTTTCCCCATCCTGCAGCTCTGTTGGATAAAAAATACGTGCAGAGTACAGCAAAGTCTCAGTTTACAGCACTGCAGTAATGTGATATTACCCCATTTGCGTCTCAGAAATATTGTTTTTCTTGTTGCAGTGAATTCAATTTAGTAATAATGAAGGTTATTTCGTAGATGACCCTAACAGTGAGATGGAACGGTTTGTTGAAACAGGGTTAAATTAGCAGCACAGGCCCATTAGTAACGTCCCCACTGAGGGACCATTTATGTTGCTCTTCCACCTCTCTGCCATCTGTTTGCAAGCACACAAGCGGGAGAGAAACCCAATAATTATTTATTTTTTTAAACTTAAACCAGACACACAGCCATGTAACAATAGTAGCCCCTTGTAAATTCCTAAATTGTATGGAAGACATATACAGCATCTCGAAGACAAGCTTTTATGAGTGTAGAAAGAAACGGCCGCACAGAATTAGAGAATTAACCCCAACCCTCCATGAGTAGAGCACTGAGCCGTGGTTCTTCCCACCTCCCGTCATTGAGATCATCTGCCTCATTAAATACCCATTAATTAACCTTTAAAACACACCGGCGGCTGTGCTCGCCAGCTTGCGAAATGGCTCATCGGTGAGCAGTATTGGCATTAGCATAAATAGCTTTTGCAATAAATTAGCATGTGGATAAGTCCCGTTTTCTGCCACGTATCCAGAAGGAAAATTAACTCAATTACTTTGTCTTTGCTGTGTGAAAATCAGAAGCCGTAAATGAAAGAACAGGACATATGTTGAGAAGCAATCAAATCAAGAGTACATAACATTTATTACTGCAGCTACACACCCATCTCTTGGAAACGGTATCCATTCTTGGAACTCCCGGTGGATTGAGCCTCTGTTGGAAAAAAGACAAATATTAACTTCTTATCTCTCCTTTTTTTTTTCAACACTTTTAAAATGTTTATTATGATAATTAAAAACGTGTATTATCCCCTCAGAATCCAAATCAATTTTACACCTGTGTTGTCTTTATACAATGTGACACCAGGGCTGCAATTCCCACTAAGGACACTTTTTGTCCTCTGGCAATGTAAAGAAGTACTTATCCGTAATGGAGGCAAATATGATTTACAGAAAATGTAATCACTTCATATTATTAATAAAATAAAAAGGAAATCTATAAATGTTAGAGGCATTTTTTTGTGTTTCTACTCAAAGGTAGATTTAGATTGCAGGGCACACACTCTCAACACAATATTTTTTAGTATTGTATGCTGTGAGTAAATTCCGGACAATGCAAAGCAACTGAAAAAAGTCTTGACCTCACTCAAACCCAGTCAGGGGTCATGACCAGCACTTTAATAACCCAAAGCACGCCGACGCCACAACATCTTTAATGTTTAAGGACTGACATCCCTTTGTTGCAAGCCAATTATTTTTGCAGAAACAAACTGTCACACGGTGATAAAAGCGTGTGAAACAGGACTCCGTGTACACTGACCCTGTGGCGTCCGTACTGTGAGCAACAGCTCTCACTTCACAAGCTACAAAAACAATCTGCTTCCACCAGCGGGCCTCCACCTTATGAGCTGCTCGCACAACACACACACACACACCGAAATATCCAATCCTGTTGAGTCACGACTGGCAGTGTGATGCACAATCTAACCTTAAAAAAAAGATCAAGGAGACGTTAAAGAGGATTGTGAAACGAGGGCCCCCGCTGAGAAACCCCTCCGTCATCGTTTACAACTAAAGCTCCAGCTGCGTCCAATGTTTGCATTCGGCGGCCACTCGTCTGTGAGACGCCGCCGTGGCCGCACAGACAAGCTCTCCCTTGCCCGAGGCAGTGATTGGCTCCGAGGGGCTCCCGAGCAAGGCCATATCTCAGAGCAGATTAGACGGAACATTCCCAGGCCTCCTCCACTTCACAGGAGTCTGCACAGACAACGGGAGGTCGGTGGGCTGGTTGAGACCGTTCAAGTCTCGACTCATAAAGACGAAGGTGAAGCTTGTTGTTGGTGCTCTCCTCGAGGTCGTGATCATGAGAAGAGACTGGCTACCACTTTGTAGTAATGAACAGCTTCTCATCAGCGAAATCGGTGTGAAGACAGTAAGAATGAGCATGTGAGAGACACATTTCACCGTTTCTTTTTCTTTCTTCTGTCCATCATTGTTCAGTGGGAACAGACTGAAGAGGCTTTGTAGGGTTTCTGCCAGCGTGTGACAGGCGTGCTTGTGAGTTTCCTGTTGGCGGGTACGCCGACTTCCTTAGTCTTAGGCCTTAGTGTGCAGAATGCAAACCACAGAATGAGTCACTATTCCACTACTCGACTATCGTGGCCAAAAAGGAATCAAATTCCTCCAAAAACTGGGATTTAAGAGGTTTGGATTATTTACAAAATACTATCATACGTATTCTACTGGTTGTCAATTCTGAGTTATTTACTTATCCATCAATTTCTTCTTTTTCACCTTACAATGTAGATAAATTAAAGATAAAGACGCCCTAGATTTATTATCTATTCAAGGTTTTCACGATTTGTTTTTGTTCAGTACCGTTTCACTCTGACAAGCCAAACCACCTCCTCATACGGCTGAGTTCATTTCTCTATCTCGCTGAACGGACGGAGCTGACTTGGGTGTCTTCTTTTAATCCTCGCCATCTTGTTATCTAAAAGGTCGACCTTGAGGAACAGACCAAACCATTGTTGGTTGGGTCTTTGAAACGAGAGGCGCCAAACCATCGAGGGGAGGACGGGACTCGCCGTGCACAGGCTTACAGGCCATTTGACCTCTTTATTTCACATAAAAAGGTTTTTAAACTGCAACACAGTTGTATGTCTGAAGATTATAGAAGCAATCCCAGTTGCATCACATTATCATCAGCTTTGACCAGAGAATGTCTTCAATACGAGTGGGAAGGCCAGATTAGAATATTAGACATTTTTCTGCCAGATAATCTTCTAAATCCTTGACCTGAGAAAGTACAAGTAGGTCTTTTTAACCCTTTGATTGGAACTTCAAATACATTTGACTTGTTGTAGGGTTACATTACATTACATTACATGTCATTTAGCGGACGCTTTTATACAAAGCGACGTACAATAAGTGCATTCAACCATAGGGTACAAATTCAGGAGAACAAGAAACAAGAAAGTGCAATTTCCTTAAATAAGCCAATTTACAATTTGCTATAGATGAGTGACGTTACAAGTGCTAGTAAACTACCTTTCATCATTGAATGATCTGACAATTATCTTCGGGATTCATTGTTTGATAGTTTGATCTCAATGAAATTGGGAAGAAAACCCTGATATTACTTCTGGTAACCGTTGGTTTTGTCCAAACGAGTCCAAACCTGTTCAGCCTGCTCTCACGGTCTCACATTGAGGAGGCTGGATTCATAAATGTTTGCTGGAAAAAAATAGCTGTTTATAATAACGGTTTATCAAAAAAACACATTTTCTCTTGAATATGTGCTTTTCCCTGCTGCATGTGTAGCTCGGTAAATGAAAATGAACGTGGAAGAGTGGAAGCATCATGTTATAGACACTCCCACTACACAGCAAGTGACAACATAACCAAATGAGTGGTTTGAAATCAATTGGAGTGCATTTTCTGGAAGGATTCCCTTCCCCGGTGTGGTGTTGGGGGGTAAAACAGATGTCACAAGTATTGGCAGGACTGCTGCTACCTTGTATGACAGACAAATGCGCCATTTATTGCCGTCCTGTAAATATTGGCCCATTTCCATTTGACTGTCCTGGCTGTGAAAGCAACTCGCTCGTACTATCTGGTGGTAATATCAAGTATCAAGCGTATAAATACACATGCAACAGAAATAGCAGCCATAGAAGCAGGCAAATAGGAAAGAATGGACGAGTTCTGGAAGGGTTGTCCAACTGTAGAAGAAAGCCTCCACTACACATGCTTTACGACGCGTACCACACTGTTTTCTAAAGGCAAACACTCACACTAGAGACGCTTTCTCCACATGTTTGACACAGTTGTCTCAGGTTGCAACATGAAAAGAACCTCTCGACCCTACCTCGGTAAAACTTACCAGATGGCACAAAATGGAGGACTTTTTGGTCTTCCATGTTCCCCAGGTTTGAAAGGTGAGATGCTTTCCAAAGATCAACCCATCATCCTCCTCCTCTGTGCTCCTAAACACCTTGAACTGACCCGTGATCCCCTCTCAGTATCTTTCAATAACCCACACATGCCTCCCCTGTGGCAGCACATGGGTTTGAAACAGAAAGTGGGAGGGGAAGGGGAGAGGGGGGGGGGGGGGCATAGGAGGGGGGGGGCATAGGAGGGCCAAGGGCGTGTCATCTTCAGCTGGGTCCTTGTGCCCATGATACAGAATTGAATGAATTAGCAGTATTGTGTTTGGTTTTGGTATTGCAGATTTCTGTCCCTTGTTCTTCTGATTTTACCTTGTGTTTTTTATAAAGTTTGCCGTGCATCTAACGTTACAGACTTTGTACACTCTTAGCTTTATTTTAGTGGGTTTGTGAAACACAATACATTCTGCTTCAACTGGTTCAATTGGAACATAAACATAACATTAGTTAAAATAATATATTTCCTGTATTTCTTTTTTCATGATTTTTCATTGACATTTGGTTAATTTGTGTTTGGATTAGTTTCATCAGTTTTATATTCCATCCGAAGTTTTTCTGGTGCAGATGGGATTCATTAAAATGGTCAATTGGGAGAGAAAAAAATCATTGAGTAATTGTGTTCTATTTTTTATTTTACAGATTTATTCTGTAAAGTGAGCAAAGAAAGAAAGAAGAGGTTCTCCATAGTTCTTTTGATATCACTTTAAAAATATATGTGTAGAATCGTTATAGTATTATTACTTATTAGATTATTTTGATGTTTCTGTTTGTAGAAAATCCTACTTTTAGTATATATATATATATCTTTTTCCTGTGGGCACTAAGGTTGGAAAAATTCACATTGTACACAGTGCTGCTGATAACACAAACAAGGACCATTTACCAATGTGAACTATGTTTTAGTAATCAAACACTTTTAAAGCTCAGTTTTAAAGTTTCTTACCCAAATATAGTGTATCACATTTGTTTTTTGGGCCGAGTAGACTTGTTGAATACATTCTTACCATATGACATTTAGCCAGAGCAAAGTAATCTGAAACCTATAATGTTTAGACAGAGTCAACCAGAAGGCTCCGTGGAGAGGGCAAACGAGCTGAACTGCTTCTACAACAGGTTCCGCAGGTGAAATCTTCACTTGACCCGCTGCAGTTTGCATGCCAGCCTCGTGTGGGAGTGGATGAGGCCATCATCTACCTGCTGCAAAGAGCTCTGTCGCACCTGGATGGAAAGGGTGGCTCTGTGAGAATAACTTTCTTTGATTCTCCAGTGCCTTCAACACCATCCAACCACTGCTACTGAGTGAGAAGCTGCGGGTGGTGGGGGTGGACTCGTCCACCGTCCCCCGGATCACTGACTACCTGACAGGCAGGCCACAGATTGTCCTACTGGGCAGCGTGCTGTCTGATATGGCGGTCAGTTGTACTGGAGCTCCACAGGGAACTGTTTTGTCTCCCTTCCTGTTCACCTTATACACCACTGACTTCCAGTATAACTCGGAGTCCTGCCATCTGCAGAAATTCTCTGATGACTCTGCAGTGGTAGTGTGTATAAGGGATGGACGGGAGGAGGAGTACAGGGCAGTAGTGGAGGACTTTGTGGTGTGGGCGGGCAGAAATCACATGCTCCTGAACGTGGCCAAGACCAGAGAGATGGTGGTCGACTTCGGGAGGAAGAAGACGGCTCCGCTACCGCTGAGGGTTCCGGGAGAGGAGGTGGTCATGGTCGAGGACTACAAGTACCTGGGTCTCTCCATCGACAACAGAATGAACTGGAAGACGAACATCAACGCTGTCTACAGGAAGGGGATGAGTCGACTCTTTTTCCTGAGGAAGCTTCGATCCTTCCATGTGTGCAGTAAGATGCTGGAGATGTTCTATCAGTCTGTTGTGGCCAGCGCTTTGTACTTCACCGTGGTCTGCGGGGGGAGCAGCATTGGAGCCGGTGACACCAACAGACTTAACAAACTTGTTAAGGAGGCCGGCTCCATCATTGGCTGCAAACAGGACAGCTTGGAAAAGGTGGTGGAGGGGAGGTCACTGAAGAAACTGCTATCCATATTGGATAACCCTGACCACCCCCTCCACCACCTGCTACAGGGACAGCGGAGCACGTTCTCCAACAGACTCCTTCAGCTCCGCTGTCACAAGGACCGATGCAGGAGGTCATTCCTGCCCAGTGCAATAACACTTTACAATAAATCATCCCTGGCCAAATAATGACAATAACAACCTTGTACTGCTGTGATGTTGCTGCTCTTCCTCTTTCTCTTCTCCTTTTACAAATTATTATAATTGCACTGTCTCTTCTTGAAGGTTATTCTTTTGTTTTATTTTGTTTTATTTTATTTTATTTAATAATGTAATATTTTGTATCTTACTATATTGTATATAACGTGTATATAATGTGTATCTTTCTTCCCTGCACATGCTGCTGTGACACCAACATTTCCCTCTTGACGGATCAATAAAGTAGCTATCTATCTATCTATCTATCTTAATAAATTCCTTCCCACAGGTCTGTTTTTTCTTGCTTATATGAGCTATTCTCTGGTGTGTTACTGCCACCTAAAGTCAATCTTCTGAATCACATTGAACCGCCTGAATAGTGCGTCATGCGTGTGCATGTACATCAAGGAACTAAGAAAGCAGTAACCAACTAAATAAACATTGCTTCATGGCGCCACTAATTCTCTAAACTCGACCAAGTACCTTTAACCACAAATTCAAATTCAATAATTTTCCAAGTGAGAAAGCGAGAACGCAAATCTGCTACCAGACTTTAGTCAAAGATCAACTAAAGTATCTAAACCAGATACAATAACAGCCACAAACTGAGCTGGTGGAAGTAGTGGTAAGAAAAAGAGCTCAAACTTAAGACATTCCACCTCCACATGTTAAACTATAAATCCACCTTCTTACCTTCAATGAAAAGGTATGAAAGTACTCAGTTTGTCATTGGTTCAACATTAGTAATGTAATAGCAAGCATGAATAGAGCATTTCTCCTAAAAATATTTAGTATTAATCAATACACACATAATAAAGAATTATGAATTTGTCAAATGTCATATCAGCTATGTACAGTTAATGGCTTGTTAAGTATATAGATATTTTCAGTCCTCTACTACCTTCAGCTAGAAGGAAAGAAAATGACAAGGAGGGAGGACATATTAAAAGGACAAATCAGGTCACCCGATATAAAGAAATGGTGATTATAGGCATAAGACAATTGGGACACTGTTCGGCAGGAATGACTCTTCACCGCCGTGAGATGGCATCCCAGTCTGCAAGGGAGCAAACGCAGTCTGACTCAGATGAGTTCATATTTCAGTTGACAACATGAACCACCATGTGACTCGTAACCGTTGGACTACCGCAAGGTTTAATGGTTTTATGTGAAGCACTTTGAATTGCCTGGTTATGGAAATGAGCTTTACAAATTGACTTGCCCACCCAGCGCGATGGAAAGTGACAGCGAGGGCGTCAAACAAAGCCTGTAAATGGGACCAGTTGGAATGATAAAATACTGCTTATTTGGTTTTTAAAAAAGCCTCATTAACTGGCTTCCGCCCTGATCTAAACCTGCTCCACTCAGAAGAGCAGAACCCTGGCATTTATTTTAACTACACACAAATATTCAAACCATTAGTTGCCGTATCATTAGGTCAAACAGTGGCCATGGCATAACAAACAAAGAGGCCCGGAAAGCCATGAAATAACTTAACTAATGTTCTGTGGTCGAGCAGTTCATTGCACATGCACAATAAGTGTGCTTTACTTCACTGTGAAACATTAGAAGATCTCAAAGAGCACCTGAGGGCCAGAACTGAGGGGAACCCTGAGATAACAACTGAGGGGCATTATAGAAGAGCTCCAAACCAGAAAACACAGATTGACAGTGTTGGATAAGAGCAAAAGGCTGATTGAATATTAAATTAGCATGTGCAGAAAGGCTCTTCAGCGGGTGATGATTCAGACTTGGCCGCCATAGAAGAGCTTCTGAATGAATCTGTTGTTTTTACTGTCGGGGAGGCCATAAATGTGTAACAGAGTGCGCCACAAACCTTGCAGAGATCCGTTTAGCAGTCAAACATTAAATATGTGCAGGTTTACTGGAGAGCCATCCACTGTGATAACTTCTTACACGTTTAATTTAACAGTAAGAGCATTTCGGTGAAATGAATTGTATTACTAAAAATGAATACATCCCATTCATTAATATTCACTTTAATAAACTAATTCTGTGTAAACAAACCAAACTTTTCCTTCGATCTTACAATCTTCCCATCACATGGTTTGAGAACAAAGCAAACAGCAAACACTACAGATCATCAAGTCATATTTCGATCAAGCTTTTTGACCCTTACCTTCAGAAAAATGATTCAGAGTCACTCCCGGCATCTCCTCAGCCTCCTTTTTGATCTTCATCAATCCGTTTCTTGCAGTGCAGCCAAACCTCCGTGAGAACTCAACAGCCGCTAAGTGTGTTTCCTGCGTGAGAGTTGCAGCACGAATGGTCCTGCAGGCGTCCCTCAGGTAGACGGGAATGCGTAGACGGGAAAGCTGACTTTACGTACCAAAGGTAATGCAGAAAAGGAAGGCGGGCTTTGGGAGAAGAGGAGTCAAGGAGTCAGAGGAGGACATGACCCTGGGAGGAAGGTGTGAGGAAGCTACTTTTAACCTCTTCTGGGCTTCTTCTACCGTGAGACATTTACCACCACATTTATGTTATGCTAAAACATGAATGCCACCACAGGGTTTCACCTGTAGGATTCATTGCAATATTCAATGCGCTCAATCCGAGGAACTCTACCAGGCCGCGGTGGTGATTTTGAGTAATTAGCAAGACTTTGTTGGACCATAAAAATCATCTGACATATAAAATCCAGCAGCGCCATCTACAGTGTCCAGGTCACAAAGTGGGCTACTGCGACAGCTTGTCCCGAATTCAGGCCTCGTTCCGACGCCCTTCGCCTGAAGTCATCATGATGAATATTAACATGAGTATGGCTATTGTTGATCCTCACAGCTGTGACTCCTGTGATGAGCAACGAATGGAAAGCAGAATACGGGTACGCCGGTAGCCGGTCTAATCATTGTGTTAAGGGCCAAAAGGAAAATTAATGATTGA